TACACACACACATATATATACATCTATGTCTCTTCACACATCAGTATCAAAATGTCTGTTACATATTTCAATGTTACCTCAATTTACTCTGATTTAGACAAATTTACATTGTTAACATAAGCATCAAAATTTTAATACTGATTCAAAAACATTTTAATAAATAAAGAATAAGCTGGGCATGGGGACACACACCTTTAATCCCAGCACTCTGGAGGCAGAGGCAGGTGGATCTCTGTGAGTTCAAGGCCAGCCTGAGTTCAGTTCCCAGCACCCACATAATAGCTAATAACCTCCAGTCCCAGGGAATTCAATGCTATCTTCTGGCTTGTACAGATACTGCATTTACAGGTGCACTTACATGCATGCAGTTACACTCATATACATAAAATAAAAAAATAAACAAATTAAAAGAATATCTAAATTCAGAAGTAGTTTGACTATTGTCTAGGACTAATTTTTAAAATTAGACTCAGAATATATCAGAGTGTTCAGAAAATGGCCTTTATGCTTTTTGATTTTCTAAAAGAACAAAAGCTGGTTATACATACATATCTTACCTCTGAGTCCATCTTTGGAGATAAGGTACACGTCAATACGTGGTCTCCTATGTTTTGTGGATTTTGTTTCAAAAAGCTGTACATTGACAGAGCAGATTCAGGACTCTCTAACTGAAGAATCACCTTTAGAGAAAATTTTTTTAAAGTATGAATTTAAAAATTAGCAACTCTACATTTTAGTATATACTCAGAAGAATTGAAAACAGAGACCCAAACATTTATTTATTCACTTAAGTTCTACAAAACAATATTTAGCAATAGCCAAAATGTAGAAGAGATCCAACTGTCTACCAACTACCAAACAGTCTAAAAACATGGTTTAAGCATACAAGAGAATACTTTAGCCTTAAAAAGAAAGGAAATTCTGATACATGCTACCAACATGAATGAACCTGGAGGACATGCTAAATAAAATAAGCCAAACACAAACCAGCAAACATAAATCAATGCATATGTGGCATCTGGAGCATTCCGAGTCATAGAAATAGAAATAATGTGGTGGTTGAGGCGCTGGCGGGGAGGGGCATTTAGAGAGTTGTTTAATGGACACTTCAGGAACTGAATGGCTGATGATAGCTGAACAATGCAAATATATTTAAAATCACTGAACTGACATTTAAAACCTGGTTACAATAGTACATTTATGATTTACATGTATGTTGCAAAATCTCAGCAAAACAAAAAGCTATTTAAAAAAATCTTCCATTCTTTAAAATAGAGGAATAATGTTTAGAGCTTTAAAGGTTTAGAATGCCTACATGCCACCTGGGCCCTATGTACCCTATGTCACATCATTTCTATAGTAACAGACATACTCTATGTATTGGTTCAAACTATAACAAAGAAATCAATTATCTGGCTGTTGGTCAACTATAAACTACTTATGAAGTGTTATTACTTTGTCACAATAAAGTAACTTTGATACAAAACTCTGCCTGCCTTTCTAAGTAATACACTGCTGACCAAAATCTGTTTTTAACTGGTCTTGTTAGTGAGACCTGTAATCCCAGCACTTAGGGAGGCAGGGGAAAGAGGATATCAATTTAAGGATAGCATAGGTTACACAGAAGACAAATAAACAGAAGCCAAATAAAGAAACAACTTTAACAAATGATCTCAGTATTTTAAAAATTCTGACAATGTGTCTTTCATTTTTATAAGTATAAAACAACTTTGCCATAGTCATATAAGTAGAAGAGGGCAGAGGGAAATGACTTTAGCCATATAACCCTTCAGGTAAGATAATGCTTTTTACACTATGTTACCTTTTCCTCTGTAAGTCTTATTTCTCCTTAAAAACATATTTCACGTGGTTGTGCACCCTTTTAATCCCAGCACTGGGGAGGCAGAGGTAGGCAGGTCTCTGTGAGATCAAGACCAGCCTGGTCTACATAGCAAGTTCGAGGCCAGTTGGGGCTACAGTGAGACTCTGTCTCAAAACAACAAGAAACAAAATAAAACAAAACCCTCAGATTTCTAAAGAAATCATCCTTTTTGTCATAGTTTAGAAGAAACTGACCTAGTCTCTCATGATTCTGTGTATCATTAATGTTTAAAAAATGCTTCAATTCAAAAGCTGAGTTAGAAGATAAGGATAGAAATACAGGGTTAAGTTACATATTCTAGAGCATGAATTAGGAAGGAATTTGTTACCTTGTTTTTATTACTCATGAATACATGGTGATCTACTTTTCCAAATTGATGCCCAACACAAAGTACACACTGAAGTCCATCTTCTGGTAAATTGTCAAGATGTACAAATCGGTTGTAAATTTTATCAATATTTGCCTGTAATATTTTTTTGAGATAGCACAGGAAAAAAAAAGGTTGAACATCAAACTGTAAAACATAGATTAACAGTAATTTATCACAGAGTTCAAATGATGTTTTCATTCAAGAATAAGAAAATGACTATATGAATGAAAATAGTGACATAGTTAAGAGTTCAGTTGAGCCAGGGCTACATAATGAGGCCCTGTTTCAAAGAGAAAGAGATGGGGGGAGGGGGGAGGAAGGGAGAAGTAAATAAACAAATAAATGAATAGTGAGGTTTTCCTACCCCCTAGTGCTGGGAATGAAACCCAGAGCACCATGAAAGCCCTCTATCGCTGAGTTATTCCTCAGCCCAACAGTAAGATCTTAATTTTAGACCTGGGTAATGACTAACACAATATAATAAAATGGGAGGAGTATTTCTACTACTGACTTGTTTACATCCATAAAACATCCTCAAATGGGACACTGACCTATCTGGGCTACTAATTATGCATTCCAGTATTTAGAAAAATTAGTTCACATTAGGAACTATTGGAATAATTCTTATTTTTACCAAGAGCCATCTATTAATCTTAAAATTGTTATTAAGGTTTTAATTCTTAAAAGATAAAATAATAAATGAGTAATAAAATCTGTAAACAAAGGCAATTAAATGAACTTACCTCTGGGTCATTTTCTTTAATCAAATTTGTAAACAGAGCTTCCTAAAAAGTTAGACAAATGTAGAAGGTATAAACTCTTTGTCATTCATGTATTAACACTTAGTCAAGCTTTGTTATATAATGGTCTATACAAATATGCACTGCCCAATCTTTCATAAAACCAGGCAGCAAAAGTTCTACTCCTTTGAAAAATGTTTCCCTTCTCCCTGAAAATGTTATTTAAGTCTTAACTTTATCTACCCAATTTAGTTCTTTCCATTTCCTTAGGTTTATTGTAGGCAAATAAACAATATAGTGATTTGTTGCTATTGAATTATAAAAAGACCAAATGTGGCATAAGAAAGAGGATCAAAACTGGGAAAAGATATCTAATGGAAATCTTTGTATAGCAAAAAGAAACTTAGCCTTTACTTTATTGGTCAACTTTTTCTCTTTGATGCTACTGACAGGTGTAAATGACTTAAAGGCTTTCTAAATTTGCATTTCACTTGCCTCTAAGAGATTCTAGCAGCTCATTTTAGGCCATACTGACACTTGTTATCAGTGGAAGCTGAATTTGAATAGACTTGAATTTCATGTCAGTCTCAAGGCTTTGTGGTGAAAGTACTTGAGGAAACAAAACATACAAGGCATAAAGAGCTGCTATTACTTTGATGGTCCAGTAGTAGCTTTTAAGAAATAAACACTAAAAAAGGGAACAAGTTTTATACACAAAATAGACAAAATCTACTGAAGAACTAAGTGTGACAATTGAGGAGGATGGGGGGAGGCACAAAGACAACCATCAGTATTCTTTTTTGGTTTACACTAAGATAACAGCAATGAAAAAAGATCTTTCTTCAGTTTTCAACTTTCTTCTAACCCAGCATATATATGGGATAGTATAACCTCAAAATGAAAGGAACTCTCAAATAGTGGAGTGTGTGATTACTGAAAGGAAAGGGATCTTTCTTGGCGTAAGTAAACAAGCACGTGATCCAAGAAGAAAACTAGATAACAGAATAAATCTGAGTTTAAAAATTTACTGCAATCTAAGAAAAATAGGTTCCAGGACCCAGTGGAAGCCGAGCTGGAACCTCCGGTAGGGACTCTGTAGACCCAGTCCTCCAGCTATCTGGGTTAGCAAAGACCTGCCCTCTGCACTGAACCCCAAACCCAATCCACCTGCTCATAGCCATATACCATCCACAGCTCAGCTCAAAAGCCATGTGGCATCCTGTGACTGTGACCCTAGGTAGGGGCCCCCAGAGTCAGCCTACCACCCCAATTGGGAACACACAGTGTCCTGCCCCACTGATGTCAGGAAAGGACCCCTACTCCCACAAAGCACCGGCCCATTCACGCTATGTGGCCGGCACCTGTTATTCAACAATTCCTTCTATAAACCAGCAGTGAGAATCATCTAAGCCTCAAAAGGTTTGCTTCTAGCCTAGCTCAACTGAGATCCCTTCTGATACCCCATTCACAAATCAACACAGAGAGGGCCTGAGGACCAAACACCAAGAACACCAAGCACCACTCATCTGGGACACAACCTGAAAGTTGGGATAACAGCAAACAAAGATCCAAACACCCATTCAACAAAGGTGAGATGAGAGCAGCTATCTATACCAAGAAACACCACCACCAACATAACTTCAGATGCCTAAGTCCCATCGCAAAAACACAAACGACACCAATAACCATGTCTCCTCCAGGAATTAGCACCTCTATCTTAATGTCTCCTAAGAAAAGCAACTAAGCTAATACACAAAACATGATTTCAAAATAACAACTTTAAATATCTTCAAGGATATGAATAAAAGACTGAATGAAGACATCAAAAGCAACAAATGAATGAAATAAGTAAAACAAGATAAGGGACTGGAGAGATGGCTCAGTGGTTAAGAGCACTGACTGCTCTTGCAGAGGACCCGGGTTCAATTCCCAGCACCCACATGGCAGCTATGAACCATCTTTAACTCCAGTTCCAGGGGAACCTGAAGCCCTTTTCTGACCTCCATGGCATTGCACAACACGGGTACACTCACATTCATGCAGGCAATACACTCTTACACATAAAATAAAAATAATAAAAAAAAAACAATTCAAGATACAAAATTAGAATTAATAGATACACTCTCTAGGCCAGTGGCACATGCCTTTAATCCCAGCACTTGAGAGATGCAGGTGGCTCTGTAAGTTCCAGGCCAGCCTGGTCTACATAAAAAAGTCAAGGTTAGCCAGGGCTGTATAGTAAGACCATGTCCCACATAAAACTTGAAATGAAAAACTCAGAAAGTCAAACAAAAAGTTCAGAGAAAGTCTTGCTAATAGTCTGGATCAAGTGGAAGAAAAAAATATTAAGTGTCAAAGATAAAATGTAGCAGAAATGGAATACTTAACCAAAACGTTAAATCTAAAATAACCAAGGAATGGAACATGCAGGAACTCTAGGACACTATAACTTATGAATCATAGGTATAGAAGAAACTCAGGTCAAAGGCAAAGAAAATATTTTCAATAAAATCATGTTAGAAAATTTCCCAAATATAAAGAAAGAGAAAAACCTACTCAAGGTGCATGAAGCATGCAGAACACCAAATAGACAAGCCCAGAAAAGAATTTCCCCACAGCATGAGTCAAAACACTAACGTACAGAACAAAGAAAAAGATATTAAAAGTTGCAAGACAAAAAGATCAAGTCACATTATAAAGGTAGGTCTATCAGAATAATAGCTGATTTTTCAATTTGGTAAAGCCAGAAGGGCTTGGACCAACGATACTTAATAGGTCATAAGTGAACACAGATGCCAGTCCAGACTACCATATTCAGAAAAAGCACCAGTTATAACAAAAAAAAGAAAGAAAAGGAAAAGAAAAGAAAAGAAAGAAAAACTTTTCACGATAAAAACAGATTGAAGGAACTTATGTCCACTAAGCAAGCTCTACAGAGGATACTAAAAGGAAAACTTCAGTCTGAAGAGAATATTAAACACATCCAAGAGGGTATAAGAAATAAATAATTCCACAACAGTTAACCAAAAGAGGCTTAAGAAAACACCACCCCCACAAGAAAATAATAGGAATAAAAAGATGATTAACAATAACTCACAATATTAATGCTTTTAATTCCTCAGTAAAAAGGAAAACAGGCTGGATTAGAAAATAGAATCTGTTTTTGTTAATTCCAAGAAACATACCTCACCATCCATGATAGATAACACCTGAGGGTAAACGGAAAAAGGCATTCCAAGCAAACAGAACTGAAAAACAAGCATGCATAGCTATTCTAATATCTGACAAAATAGACTTCAAAAACAGAAAGAGGTCAGAAGAGACAGGGAAGGACACATTTCATACTCATTAAATGAAAAATGAATAATCTTAAACATATATGCATCAAACACAGGGGTACCCAATTTCATGAAAGAAACACTAGTAGACCTAAAATCAAAGATTGACCCCAACACAGTAATAGTGAGTGACTTCAATGCCCCTCGAAAATCAATATATAGGTCATTCAAACAAAAACTAAATAGAAAACCCTAGAGTTAAATGACATCATAAATCACATGAATCTAACAGACATTTACAGAACATTTCACGCAAACACTGACCACAACAGAATAAAAGTTGGATATCAACAACAATAGAAATGGGGAAAAGTACACAATCTCATGGAAACTAAACAACACACTATTAAATGAAAATTGGGTTAAGAGAGAACTTAAGAAGGAAATTCAAGAATTCCTAGAAATGAATAAAAGTGAAAAAACAACATACAAAAATCTATGGGAAACAACAAAGACAGTCCCTAAGAAGAAAATTCATAGCACTAAGTGCCTACATCAAAATACTGAAAAGATCTCATACTAATGACTTAATGATATACCCTAAGGCCTTAGAAAAACAAAAATAAGGGTTGGAGAGATGGCCCAGCAGTTAAGAGCACTGACAGTTCTTTCAGAAGACCCGGGTTCAAATCCCAGCACCCACATGGTGGCTAACAACTATCCCTAACTCCAGTTCCAAGGGATCAGACGTCCTCTTCTGACCTCTGTGGACAATGCACAACCACAGCTGCACCTACCTACATGCAAGCAATACACATTAAAAAATAAAAATAATTTTAAAAATTTTAAATTAAAAAGAAAAACAATAAGCAACACCCCAAAAAGAGTAAATGGGAAGAAAAAAAAATCAAAATCAGGGCTGAAATTAATGAAAGAGAAACAAACAAACATTCAAGAAACAATACAAAGAATCAATTGAACAAAGAGCTGGTTCTTTGAAAAGACTGACAAACCATCAGCCAAATTAACCAAAACAGAGAGAAGCCAAATTAATAAAATCAGAGACAAAAAGGAAAACATTACAATGGATGCTGAGGAAATTCAGAGAAACACAAGAATATACTTTAATAATCTATATTCTACTAACTGGAAAATCTAAAAAGAAATTATTTTCTAGATATGCATGACCTTACCAAAATTAAATAAAGATGAACAATGTAAATAGACCAGTAGCAACCAATGAGATAAAAACAGGAATTAAAACTCTCTCAACTAAAAAACATCCAGGGCCAGTGCAAAATTCTATCAGACCTTCAAAGAAGAACTAACACCAATACTCCTCAAATTATTCCATAAAATAGAAAAGGAAGAAACATTTCCAAATTTTTTTCATAAAGCCAGTATTACCCTGAAACCAAAAGCAAGAATTTAACAACAATCTCTCTGATAACACTGACAAAAAAAATCCCATTAAAATACTTGTAAACAGAATGCAAGACCACATCAGAAAGATTATCCACCATGAACAAATCAGCCCCCACCCCCGAGATGCAGGGATGTTCAACATATGTAAATCTGTGAGTATAATTTACTACATAAACATACTCAAGGACAGAAACCATAAGATCATCTCATTAGATGCAGAAAATGCCTTTGACAAAATTCCTCCATGATAAAAGTCATGAAGCATCGAGGGACACAGGGACATAACTCAACAGAATAAAGACAATATACAACAAGACTACAGCCAACATCATAGTAAATGACAAAAACCACAAAGCATTTCCACTACATTCAGGACCAAGACAAGGATGTCCACTTTCTCCATTCCTATTCAATATAGTGCCTGAAGTCTGAGCTAGAGCAGCCAGACAAGTACAGGAGACAAAGGGGACAAACAGGAAAGGAAGAAGTCAAAATATGCTTATTTTTTAGATGATATGATTCTATGTGTAAAAGACTCCACCAGAAAACTCCTACAACTGAAAAATACTTTCAGCAAAAGACTAGGATACAAAATTAACACACAAAACCCAATAGCCTTCCTATATACAAATGATAAACATACCAAGAAAGAAATCAGGAAAACAATCCCATTCATGATAGCCTCAAAAAAAAAAAAAAAAAAAATCTTGGAATAAATCTAAGGAAATGAAAGAATTACATGATAGAAAATTTAGGGCACTGAAGAACTGGAAGAAGTTACCAGAGGATGGAAAGACCTTCCATGCTTATGGATACCAAGCCCTTATGAAAAGGGTGAGAGTCATCCTACCAAAAGCAATTTACAGATTCAATGCACTCCTGATCAAAATTCCAACATAATTCTTCTTGGAAATTGAAAAAATAATCTTAAATTTCATATGGAAATATAACAAACTCAGGATAGTGAAAACAATTCTAAACTTAACTGCTGGAAGTATCACCATAACCTGATTTTAAGTTATACTATAGAGCTACTGTAATAAAAACAGCCTGATACTAACATTAAAAATGGACATATTCATTAATGGAATAGAATTGAGGATGTAGGTGTAAGTCAATATATATGGCCACTTGATTTTTGATAAAGAAGCCAAAAACACACATTAGAAAAAAAGCATGTTCAACAAACAGTCTGGACAAACTGGATAGCTATGTGTAGAAGAATGAAACTAGATCCTTATCTCTTAACCTGCACAAAAGTTAATTCCTAAAAAAAGTAAGAAAGATGATGGTATAAGTCTATTATTTACCTCGTCTGTTATGTCCACATTTTCAGGAGCCACACTTATGGAGAGCTGATTTCCATCCATGGATATTGGGAAGCAGGTGTAAAATTTTACCATAGAATCTGCAGATTTTCTGTTTATTTCTATATATGCCTTTTAAAGTGAAAATGATAAGAATGAAAAAATTCTTTCTGATAAGACTTAACTCTTCAAAGTTAAACAACAGCATTTTTTTTTTTATGTAAAAAAAGGACAGGGTCTGGCTGGGCATGGTGGCATACGCCTTTAATACCAGCACTCAGGAGGCAGAGGCAGGCGGAGCTCTGTGAGTTCAAGGCCAGCCTGGTCTACATATATCCAGTTCCATGTCAGCTAAGGCTACAGGGAGACCCTGTCTGAAAAAAGGCCAAAAAAAAAAAAAAAAAGGACAGGGTTTTTTTTTTTGCAGCCCCAGCTAGGCTGGAACTTACTATGTAGATCAGGCTGGCCTCAATCTCAGAGATCTACCTGGCTTCTGCCTCCTACAAATATTTTTAACAACGTCCCTCAAAAGCAAACAACCCCCCAATTCTTAGGAACAACAAAGCCCATAAGGACAAACTAATATAACCACAGACAAGAAGTAACAAGTGAATTCATAAGGCAAAATTTAAAAGGAAAGCAAAAGACCTTTTATAAGTGAAATTGAGAAAGATGCTTTGTTTTTTTTCCATATAGGGTCTTACTTTTAAATTTACAATCCTCTTGCCTCCATCCCCTAAGAGCTGGGATTATAAGCATGCACCACCATGTTCAGTGCCAACAAGGTCTTATTTTATTCACTGTATCCATAGCAGTACTTACTTAGTGTGTAGCAAACATTTTATAAATATCTCTTGAGTAAATACATAAAGAAGTACGAGAAACTTAAAAACCAAACAAACATGTCAGGACTAAATTATTTCTTATTTTGCTTTCTTTATACATGTAAAATTATAGTTTCACACACTTGTTTAGTTTTTGGGTCTTTTTGAGGCAGAGTCTCCCTGAAGCCCTAGGTATCCTGGAACGTGCTAGGTAAACCAGGTCTTGCCCTCATAAAGATCTGTCTGCTTCTGCCTCCTGAGTGCTGGGACTAAAGGTGTGCACTACCATGACTGGCTCATACATTTGTTTTAATTTCTCTATCTGGCTAAGTAGAGATGTTGAATCTTCTTCCACACATCTGATAACTAATGTAATGGCAATCTTCTGGATAGTTGTATACAACTGTGTATCAATTTTTAAAGCTGTTTTTTGTCATTTGTCAACTTATTAAACTTTTAATATGCTGTAACATAATGTGGAAGTGACCCTTCGTTTTTCAGTCATTACAATAATTCAATTTTTATTTTATGTTAATTTTAACCCGACAAATAATTCCTTCATCCAGTGAATCTAAGCTGTATGTAATATCTGCCCATTAGTAACTTTATGATAAACTGTTAGCAGTTTGCATGTCAAATGTACCATCTGTGTTTAAGTAACCTTTATTTTATACCATGCCCAGAGTAGTGATGCTAAGGGCTGGAGAGATGGCACAGTGGTTAAAAGCACTTGCTGCTTTTAAAGAGGACCTAGGTTTGATTCCCAGAACCCACATGGAGGCTAACAAACATCTGTAACTCCAATTCCAGGGGAATCTGACGCCCTCCTCTGACGTCCACAGGCACTGCACACCACAGGTGCACTTACATACAATGCAAGCAATACTCATACACATGAAGAAAAATAAAGTTAAAAAAAATAGTGATGTCAGCAATTATATATGCAAAGAGAAGAACCAAGGTGCTTCCTGTAAGTGAAAAGGCAAAAGTGGACTATATAACTGAGATAGACAAAAAAACCGATGAGATAGTTCAGTGGTCAAAAGTGCTTGTCACCAAACCTAACAACAAGAGTTTATCTCCAGGAAGCAAATGCTATGGTTGTAAAAATCTATGGTAGTAAGAATAAATCTTAAATTTAAGAAATCTGTACCAGCTTTGCTGTCAAACCTCAATTACTAAAGTTAGAGTATGATAAATGTTTAGCTATCAAGAAAAAGGCATTGATCTATCGATATATGAAACGAGAAAAATATATAATATATAATGTTCAGTAACATCCATTTTCAGGCACCCAACAAGGATATTGGAATACAATTTCCAAGTATAAGGGGAGACTACTATAACAGAATCTGGTACTTTTCCACACAGTTTCTAGAAAGTATTTTATCTCCATGTTTAAAATTCTACTCAATACTATTCAAAACTAGGCATATAATCTAGATTTATTGGCTTAGGTTTTATATATTTATAATCTATAAATGTATCCATATGTATTCCTTCGATATATATTAAATACTATTTGAATTGTTGGGTATTTTTAATTTTTCAATTGAGACAGGGTTTCTCCCTATATAGCCCCAGCTGGCCTAGAACTCGCTATGTAGACCAACCCGGCCTGGATTTCACAGAGATCCACTTGCCTCTGCCTCCCCAGAGCTGGGATAAAAGCTATGTGCCACCAAACCCAGCTTTCAAGTAAATTAAAATTTTGAGTGAAACTTACATTATCAGTAAGTTCTCTTCACTGAAACTACATCCAATTAGGACAATACTAAAAGAATATCTGTTTGCAATTTAGAAATCCTTTAGTTGGGCTGAGGATGTAGCTCAGCAAAAAACTGGAGGTCAATTGAGTAAAAACTCAATTCTCAACATCACACAAAAAAGTACATGTGTAGACACAAAAACAAAGCTCAGGTAGGATAGCAGGATCATGAGTTTGAGGCTAGCCTGGATTACCCAGCAAGACCCTGTCTTAAGAACCAAAACAATACTGAGACAGAAAGATGGTTCAGCATTTAAGGGCACCTGCAGTTCTTCCAGAGGACCCAGATTTGGCTCCAAGCACCCAAATGTAGCTCACAATCATCAATGCCTAGTTCTAGGGGATTCAATCCTCTCTTATGGCCTCTGTGGGCATGGCACTCACTTGGTGCACTTACATGCATGAAGGCAAAACATTCATACACAAAAATAAGAATATTAAATAAAAATGATTAGTAACACATAATAAAGCTTAAAAAACTTAGCTTAAAACAATTTTGAGATGGTCTTCAGATGTTTAGGACCTTTTTAATTTAATGTTTTCAAAAAATGTGCTTGCAGAGGATTGGAGAGATAGCCAGGCAGTTAAGAGCACTTATTACTCTTACAGAGGAGCCAGGTTTGGTTTCCACAACTCTTGTAGGAAGTTCACAACTACCTGTAATTCCAGTTTCCAGGTCTGACACCTTCTTTTAGCCTCTGTGGACTCCTGCACCCATATGATGCACATACACTCACACAAGCTCAAGCATATACACATAAGCAATAAATAAATCTTGAAAAAATTGTGCTTGCAGATAATACAAACACCTATTATAAATTCTTACCTTTTTATGAGATGATAAAATCAAAATGTCCTTCAAACCACCAAATGGTTTTGCCAAGTTGTAAATTTCTTCTGTAGAATATCCTTTATTAGGCAAATTAGAAATAAAAACCACACACATTTCCTCCATTTCCTTCAAAATAAATTAAGAAATTGATTAGTACTTAATTTGCATTCACTACTTGAGGTATACCAGATAAAATTCAGAAGACTGATCTGAACCTCAAATTGAATGAACATGTAATGTATAAATTTTAAATTACGTAGAATAATTACAGTCATGCTATCTGTCATTTAGTTTAGATCTATCAGTCTCTTTTTGGCCTATTATTTTAAAATAGAAGTTCAGCCATCTCTGACTGCAGCTCCTTCCCTCAGGTACTGTTGCTATATTTATGCCTTGTGATGTTCACATCCAACAACCAAATCAGTGTGTCTTTTCATCTTCCTGAATAAAATAATCACTCTTAGGCAATACTTTTAAAGTTCACTTACTCTCTTTAGGATCCTTAACCCACAAATAATACTTTTCTGCCACATCTTGGCTCAGATCTTTTATTTTCCAAAATTATTCTCTCACCAAGACAATTTTTTCTTTTGTGTATAGCTATTTGGGAAATTTCTAAAGAGTTTCTATGATAAACTTGGCAAATTTTGATTTTCTTTGGAAGGAAAAACAAATCACAAACTTGTAGATAGTCGAGTGTGTTTGTAAATGACTCCTTCTAAAGTAATTTACAGAATGCAATGCACTGTAAGGAAAGCACTATATTCATACTTTAAAATACTCTTCCTAAAGACAAACTATTTAGCAAGTCCTCCAAGAATGGACTATTAGACACAATGAACTTGGGCTTAGCACAGGAGAGATCTCAAAATCTAATCAGTAAAATCTAGATTAATGAGATTTAAACATATTCCTAAAGCTACAACCAGAAGAAAAAATAGTGAACTTTATGCCCTTCAAATACAATTAGAAGGCTACTTGTACCTCCAAAAATGCAAAACAAAACAAAAAACTCTTGGTATTCTAAATATTAATGTATTTCATACATGCCTCTAAGAGTAGAAACATAAATAAGATTTCACAGAAGTTTACTGGGGACTGGGGATTCTGCTCAGTTGGTAGAGTACTTGTAAAGAAAGCATTCACAGAGCCCTGGGCTCTACCCCCAGCACTGCCTAAACTGGCATGGCAGCTCACTCACTCCTGTAATCCCCATACTCAGAAGTGGAAGCAGGGGGATTACAAAGTCAAAGTCAAGACCAGCCTGGGATTCAAGAGACCTCAACACAAGCAAACAAACAACAAAAAACAAAACAAACTCCAAAAATGTATTGGTTCTAATTTGACACATTGTTATCTACTCTATTTTGCTTTACCATGTTGTTCTCAGGGAAAAGTAATCTTCAAGTGTGTGTATACATACACACACACACACACACACACACACACACACACACACACACACACTTATTAATAGTAATTCAAAACTGACAGGCCAGGCATGGTAGTGCTTACCTTTAATCCCAGCACTCAGGAGGCAGAGGCAGGCAGGTCTCTGTGAGGTGGAGGCCAGCTTGGTCTACATAGAGACCAGCAGGGGCTACAGGGAAATCCTGTCTCAAGACAACCAAAACCAACCAAACAAACAAAAGGAAAACAACAACAAATCAGAAATACTGCAAATTTATTTTTACTGGAGTTTTGTTAAAAAAAATATAGTTGCCTAAATAAGTACAAACAAACTGACCTTGCTCACCGGTTCATTTTCTGTGACTTCCAAAGGAGCTTAACACCAAAATAATGAAAACATGATTAATTTTTTTCCAGTTCATGCAATATTTTCAAGTTCTTACTTTATTCCATAGTAAAAAAACAGTTATTTGAAAATGTATACAACTGACAAAAGGCTAAGCAATAGTAGGAGGTAACTGCAAAACTGACACTGGCTTTTTGTTTTGTTTACGGTCTTTTGAGACAGGGTCTCCCAGTAGTCCCAGCTGGTCTGGAACTCTCTATGTAGACCAGGCTGGCCTCAAACTCACAGAGATCCGCCTGCCTCTGCCTCCCGAATGCTGGGATTAAAGGCATGCACCACCATACCTGGCTCTGACATTGGCTTTTAAATCCATTTGGCATATTTTCTTTTTTCTTTTTTAATTTGTGTACGAGTATATTGCCTGCATGTACTTAAGTGCACCCATGTGCAGAGATCAAAGGGAGTCAGGTCCCCTGGAACTGGAGTTATTGACAGTCATTAGCCACCATGTGGGTGCTGGGAATTAAATGTGGGTCTTCTGCAAGAGCAGCCACTGTGCTTAACTGCTAAGCCATATCTTCTGCCTCACTTGGCATATTTCTTATAAGAGTAAAACTGAGAAAATAATGTGGACATAGACTAAAGAACTCAAACATAATGTTCTTAATGTGATCTAGATATGACCCTAGCATTGGAAAATACACACAAACACATACTACTTAATGGGCCTCTTTTCTTATCTATTAAGTGTATTAACTAATATTAATTTTCCTTCAACTTTAAATGTAAAGAACAAAGCAAAATTTGTACTACCTGAAATATTTTTTCAAGCACTCTTTTCAGGGGCTTTGTATTCCATATTGGGCTGTATTTCAGAGTTTGCTGGATAAACAGTCTGTTTTCAATTTTCTTAAAAAACACTAATATAATCAAACTAATGAATGTGAACCAGAATTTCAGCTAATTATTTCATCACTTCAGTTTTTCTTATGCCAACTTAAGTAAACTTATCTTTGGAAAACAAAATAATCACTTTGAGGATTTATGTTTGGGTGTTTGGGTACATGTGCCCAGGTGTGCTCATGTACACAGATACCAGAGGTCACAATGGGTGTCTTCCTCAATCACTCTCCATCTTATTTTTTGAGATAGGGTCTCTCACTGAACCTGGAACTCATCTATTCAGGTAGGTAGGCCCACTGCTCACCCAGAGCTGGGACTGTGTGTACTGTTATGCCTGGCTTTTATGTGGGTGCTGGGGAGCCAAATTCAGGTTCTCATGCTTGCATGCCAGGCAAATTTACCAACTGAGCCATCTCCAGGCTTCCCTTTGAGGCTTATTAAGAAAAATTTCAAAATACACACTGAACCAAGAGGATCCAAAAAGTAAATAAAAAACTGAGTGACAGCACAAGGTTACCTGGAACAGTCACTGGCTTACTGGAGTCTTTGTTTTTGATATTCGCAGTCTTTTTAGCTTCTAGAGACTTCTTTCCAGATTTTGCTTTTAAAAGTAGAATTAAATCATTATTCTAAGAGTTAAGAGCCTACTCAGTCATTTAGCATGTTTCATATTAATTTATCAATAAATAGCACAGCCTTATTATAATGGAAGCTTATTTATTTTCAATATTTTTACAAGTAATATTGAAAGCAAATTTGAAATTTTTTGGTTGGCCTTAAATTAGTCCTAAGTTAAATTCTCATGTGAAACATAATCATACAAAAACTGTATTCTGAAATTTCTGCAAAGGTTCTTTGAAATTAAGCTATTTGAAAAGACAGTACTAAAAAGATCATACTAATTTCAAAGTACTACATGTATGTTCAGGTCTTTAACAGGGAAAATGGAATCTGCTTTAAGATAACAAACACTAAATAAAGTGTATAAGCTGTGGAGGGTAATATAAAATGACAGTTCTAACTAAAGGAAAAGGGAAAGGGAAAGGAATGAATCATTTAAAGGAGAAAATGGCAGAGCAACCCCCAACTGCACAAACGTCCAAAATACATGGCAATATAGCTGTATTTATATTTTATAGCCATAATACGTCCGCACAGAAATATAAATGATAGATGCTATCAAAGAACAAAGTACCAACAAAAAGTCCTATATTATAAAATTTTAATTCTGAAGTTTCTGCCAAATTTCTCAAGATGCTGTCAGATACTAGAAATTACTACATAAATTCAAAACTTGCTTTCATTAATGTATTTTTTAAAAGAACTGAAAATAAGCTTAATAAGGAGCAGGAGAGATGGCTCAGCGGTTAAGAGCACTAGCTGCTCTTGCAGAGGACCTGGGTTCAATTCCCAGCACCCACATGCGGCTACGAACCGTCCTTAACTCCGGTTCTAGGGGAATCCGAAACCCTCTTCTGACCTCCGTGGCATTGCTAAACACGGGTACACTCACTCACATGCAAGCAATACACTCATACACATAAAATAAAAATAATTAAGAAAAATAAAATATTTAAAAAAAAGCTTAATAAAACCCTCTCTCAATAGTCTTACCTGTTTTGACAGCTTTACCTTTAGCAGCTACCGTTACCACAGATTTTACAGAACTTGCTGATTTCCCTAAATCACAAAAGCTACAGTCAAAACTGTTTTACTTAACTAGTATCAATCTCCAAAGAACCTCATAGAAAAACAATACAAGAATAGTATCATATTTAATAATACAAAATGTTAGGCTGAGCATGGTGGCGCACACCTTTAATCTCAGCAGTCGGGAGGCAGAGGCAGGTGGATCTCTGCGAGCTCAAGGCCAGCCTGGTCTACATAGTGAGTCCCTGTCTCAAAAAGACCAACCAACTAACCAACCAACCAACCAACCAAAAAACCCACACAAAATGTTATCTTTGGGGACATAGTTCATTTTCTAAATCTAACAATGATAATTTCTTTGGTGGAGGGAGGTAGTCAGTGAAGAATTCATCTCCTGCTGGTACTAGAAAGTAGCATTCAGATAAGCTAACTATCTCTCTGAATGTACGCATCAGCTAGATTCTAAAATGCAAAGTGCAAGGACACAGAGCAACTTCATGCTTTTACTGGTTCCAAAAGCAATTATACAGAGCCTCCCAATCTATGATCCCTTGGATCCCACTTGCCTGAAAAGCATTTAAGAATTCACAAAGGTCACATCACATAAAGATCGTTAACTCATTCCTTGTATCCTAGCTGTACAAGATGATTTAAACTGGTCTGATCATTCATTTTACTTATGCATCTATGACTGCTGCTTACTTTCCATGATGCTATTTACAAGCACTATAATCATCAAAGTTGCTGTAAACATCAGAGAGCCAAAATTCTTTCCATTATTAAACAAAATTCCCAGTGCCAGATGTAGGCTATCTAATGAGTTATATTGGTCAGAGAAGTTCCAGAAGCCCCCCCAAATAATACGGGCACTTGCAATTCTTCTTGTTTGCCCACCATAATTAAATGGTAAGAACCTATTTTTGAAGATACTACACATCTTCATTACATGAAGATGTAATCAAGATTACAGGAATCAAGCAGGAACTGAGCTGGAAACTTCCTTTCTGCTGTTTAGCTTTCCTTATCTCCAAATGTGCTACATAAGCTGCTGGGGGAGAAAAGGCATCAAAGGTCTTAACTAGCTGTGAACTCTATAAACTACAATACTGACTGATTCAATCATGGCACAACTGTCATACCAAGTAAACAATTAACTGGTCTCTGACTGGATTTGAAGCCTGCTCCACAAGAAGGAATGCATGTCTGGTGGTATAAACCTAGTTAAAAGCTCATGGCTGAATTCATCTTAGGGCACAGGGGAAAACTAAGTATTGCGTACTTAAAGTGGCATGGCTTCAAATTGCCACCTAAATCTTATGTTTATACCGACAAATGTGACCCTCACTCTTAATCAGAGAGGCTTGTCTTTGAAATCAACTGCCATGAACGCAGAGATTCAAGGCTCTCAGTATAAAGTGCTGAGAATAAGTAATGGTTGAGTGCTCAGCCATAAACAGAACTCCATCTAAACCATCTAAAACTCAGGGAACATTGTGGAACAAGACACAGAAAGAATGTAAGAGCCAGGAGTTCTGTAAGGACAAAGTCAGGCTGGTCTAAATAGCAAGCTCCAGGCCAGCTGAGGCTAGAAGGTGACCCTGTCTCTTTTTTAAAAAAAAAAAAAAAAAAAAAAAAAAAAAAAAAGTAAGTAAGAGCCAGAAGCTAGGGAAGAGGGCTGTGAAATGCTATCTTCTGGGCATGACACAGTCACTGCAGTCACGATCCCATAGCAGCTGAGGCTGCCTCCATCGGGTCTGTTCAAGGCTGGGCCTGTCCATAGTCAATCATGGATCAGGGACAGGATCACAGGACTCTATCCCTCCCTGGTAAACTATAGGCATATTCTAGGGAAGGAATAGCCAGTGTCTTCAGCTGTGTACCCATGTACCCACTAGTGAGTCCACTGGGCACCAAAGGACAGCTCCAAATCTCTGATCACACAGAAGGCTATGGTTAAACTCAGTGATCACAAAAAAACAAAAAGGCATGAATGTGAGAAAAGAACTTGTAAGTTAGTAGAGTGGGGGTGAGGGGAGGTGATGGGGGTGGGAGGGAGATAAGAGAGATAGGATATGGTAGGGGGTGAGAGTAACCCAATATAGAACATAAATGTATGAAAAGAACAAATTTAATATAAAGTTTAATAAGCTGGGCATGGTGGCATATGCCTTTAATCCCAGCACTTGGGAGGAAGAGGCAGGCAGATCTTTGAGATTGAGGCCAGCCTGGTGTACATAGTTCTAGGACAGTTGGGGCTATAGGGAGATCCTGTCTCAAAAAACTAAAAAATTCCTTTCTACTCTGAGAGCAACAGATTTAGCTCTGAAAATGAGGATTCTTAAGAAGTAGCAAGTCCAGAATCAGAAATAAGTAGATGGCAAGTTGAAATGGTTTGAGTATTAATTTTTTTGCATATCTTCCACAAGAGGTGACAGTTGTTAAAACTGAGTAACAGAAATATTATGCGATTACAAGCATGCTTTTGAATAATTCATACAAAAGGAACTATTAATATTCATTAGAACAACAGAAATAGTCTGTATCTACCCTTTATACTCAAAGACAGACCATCATTTTTATTCAAAAGAACAATACAGGCGTCCTCCCATTATCTGCAATTTTGCTGTCCAAAATTTCAGTTACTCAAAAGACAAAAATTTTTAAAATTTCAGAAATAAGCAATTCCTAAATTTTAAATTGGGGCCATTCTAAGCAGTGTGATGCAATCTCCAGCTGTTCTGTTTCATTCAGCCCTGGACCTGAACGATCCCTGTGCCTGTACATGCAGGTCATCCATGCTGCCTCCCATTAGTCACTTAGCAGCCATCTCTGTTATCACAGGGTAGAGGTCTCACTGTGCTTATATTCAAGTAACTCTTATTTTACTTAATTATGGCCTCAAAGTGCAAGAGTAGTGATACTGGCAACACGATGCATATTTCCTTTCAATAGGTTCAATTATGTGAGAGACCACTTCATATAGCTCATTGTTTATGTCTTACTGGGCCTAACTTATAAATCAGGCTTTATCATAGGAACATATATATATATATGAAAAAAGTTTATACAAGGGTTAGTATTATCTGCAATTTCAAGCATCTACTGCACATCTTAAAATGTATCCCTCTCCATAAGGAAGAACTACTACTGTAGCAACCCTTAATTAAGAGTCTGGCATCTAACTAGTCAATTCTTAGTAATTTTTCAGTTTTGCTATATTGAAATAAACAAATGTAAAAGTAAGCCAGTCAAAGATTTCTTTCATTATTCTTATCATTATCATGGGACAGTTCACTTTACTACTTATATGTGGATGCTAATATTTAAGGGGAAAATGTCTAGCATTTGTCTCCAGCAGCTAAGGGATGGCTAGCAGCTTTAGCTCCTAGTCCACTGATCTTCATGTATGAGTCCTATACACTTATCAACAAAATGTTTGTTAAATAAATGTTAACTTCAAGAAGTTTCCTACAACCCATGACCTCTCAGGGGACAGTTTCAAAGACGACTACATAAAAATTACCCATCTGCCAATTACAATATCCCTTTTTAACACAGAAAAGACAATTTAATACACTACACTATATCTTGAATGATGACCCTGACATAACCTGCATTTATCAGAAAAGGAAGAGAAAAGATAAAAGAGGAATACATCAGGGCAAAGAGAAAAAAAACATTAGTTGAAAACCCTCTACAGTGAACCAGGCATGGTGGTGCACACCTATAATCCTAGCACTTGGAAGGTTGAAGCAGGAGGATCAGGATGCAAGGCCAGCATCGACTCTATGGCAAGCTCAAGGCCCACTTGGGCTACCAGAGATGCTCTCTTAAAACAAAACCCACTTACATTTTATAAGAACTGCAAACAGACCATGTTTGCTATCTGGACTACTATATATAAGAAAGCAAGTCCTCAATGAAAGGAAGGAAATATCTTGAGAAATATTTCTCCAGTTAAATCATTTTACTTCGATAGTATTAGAATACTGCATATTAAATCTCGTCTCTTAAAACTATTAGATGACTATAAATACTAAATATTAAAATATACTTAATACATACTTTATCATATTAAATATAAGGCTACATAAGTCTTAAATGTCTAGAATACTAATAAAAATGTACCTGCAGAATAGGGGGTATAGTTCAGTAGGACAGCACCTGCCTAGACTGCAAAAGGCCCTGCATTCAGTCTTCTATACAATAAATAGGCAATATAAAAGCAACATACCTGAAGATTTATTTACTTTGGTTGTGGATGCCTTGATTTGTCCAGTTTTGGCTAAGATAAGAAAAATATATTTCAATAACTCATTATGAATAACATTTAGATTTAGGTAAGAGCTAACCCCTTGGAATAATTTTCAAAGAACACCACAACCTTCAACCTCTCCTGTCCAAGGAATTATTACTAGGGATGGTTCAGTTGGTAATGTATTTGCTTGCAAGCATGAGGACTTAAGTTAGACCCCACATAAAAATTCCAGGCATAGTAGCACACTTATAATCCTATACCTGGGAGGATCTCTGGGTCTTGGCCTAATACCGGTGAGTTTCAGGCCAATGAGAGTCCCTTTCTCAAGTGAGGATAGAATTCCTGAGGATGACACCTGAGGTTGTCCTCTAGGTTCCAAATGCATTTGCATGGACACACACACACACACACACACACACACACACACACACACACGCATGCACCCATATACCACATGCAATAAAGGCACATGTTTAAAATTTTTTCTGCACCCTCTGATTCAATAAACTTCAACAATATTAAACTTTCACCCAGAAAGGCTACACCAATATTCCCATCAATATCATACAAGTAGTATTTCCATACTACCACAATATTATTGTCATTAGCCTGTCCTGGTAACAAAAGATATCAATCTTTCACTATGAGAGGGGCTATGATATGATTTACCTTTTCTTTAACTCTGAGTAGAGTTATATCACTTTTCAGTTTTTAGTCTCCTGAAATCTGCTTATTCATAATATTTGATCTTTTGAGTTGTTCATATTTTATTTATTATTAAAATTTTTAAAAAGTTACACAAAATACTAATGCGCAAGAATATTTTCAGGTAATCAAATAAGTTCCTGTTTGGGAAGGAAATTCTCACTTTGTAATTTAAGAAATATTGCCCATGTTTTCAATACCTTTACTAGCCTATGAACCACATTAAAACTTTGCTGCATTTCTAATTTATTTTACATACGAACTTTACTTTTATCAAATGAATTCCCCCAAACTCATGCTTGCATGGTAAATGCTTTACTCACTGAGCCATTTCCCTAGCCCCATCAATTATTAATTTTATAATTAAATTTAAAAGAAAGTAATTTTCACCTTGGAGCTCAACAGGCAACAGAAAAAATTATGTTTCTTTTTTTTGGGTGGGGGGGTGTCTTTTGGAGACAGGGTCTCCTGTAGCCCCAGCTGGCCTGGAACTCACAGAGGTCTGCCTGCCTCTGCCTCCTGAGTGCTAGGATTAAAGGTGTACACCACCACGCCCAGCTAAAAATGACATTTTTAAAAGGAGAATAATACATTCTTTCAACTATTAAAAAAAAAATCATTAAATCAAGGATGACAAAACAGACATTTTGTACACTGTATTTTTCCTTGGATTCAATTATAGTATAATATGAACTGGGCTTGACTGAACCTTAAGTGCTTCATCCAGCACACATTCATTCATTACACCCTTATGGTTCACAAGATTATTAGAGAATGGAAAAATAAAACTAGAATTATTCCCTAACAAACTATAATACCAAGTGATTTAATACATGGAGTATTGCTAGAAGAGAGCTGGGAGCTCCCAACATCCTCGGAGAGTCAAGGAAGGTATTGTACTCAACTCAGATGGGCCCTCATGGACAAAGAAGACGCTTAACTGACTGAATCTTCAGTACTTTGCCTAGCAACTAGTAATTTGTCACTTAATTAGTATTAGTACTAAGTATAGCTCACATCAACCTCTTCTAGTCAGATGACGATTCTACATAAATGGGCAGTATTAACTATGAACTGAGTTATCAATAAAATACCAAGACATAGCAGGAAAAATGAACTGTCCTGAGTGGCTAAAACATTTCTACTGAGTCAGGAAAGTAATGGGGGGGTGGGGAGCAAGGGTAATTTGTGTAAAGCTTAAGAATTGTAGTCTTGGGCTGGGCATGGTGGTGTATGCCTTTAATCCCAGCACTCAGGAGGCAGAGGGCAGGTGGATCTCTTTGAGTTCAAGGCTAGCCTGGTCTACATAATGAGTTCCAGGCCAACTGGGGCTACAGGGAGACCCTGTCTCAAAAGACCAAAAAAAAAAAGATAATATAAAATAAATTATATTTTAAAAAATATAAAAAAAGAATTGTAGTTTTCCTAGTGCCATCTTGCAAGATATTTCTAGCAAACAGACAAAACAAACTCATTGGAATGAGTGTTAAAAGCTAAAAATTTGGGCCAGGCTGATGGCTTAGTGGATAAATGGCTTGTCTTAGGTAAGCATGAGGACCTCAGTCCCAGTCTCCAAAACCAATGTAAAGCCAGATGCATGCAGTAGTGCATCTGTAATCCCAGTATGACTGAGGTGAATTGGAAAAAGGAGACAGAAGAATCCTTGAAGACTCAAGGGTCAGCTAGTCTGGAATACACAATTGTGAACAAGAGATTCTGCTTGAAAAAAGTTGGAAGGCACCTGAGGTTGTCCTCTGACTTACATACACAATGTGGAATGCATACATGTGCACAGGGACACACACATGCACGCACGCACAAACTTACCCAAAGAAGCTGAAGCAACAGTTTCAACGATTTTTGAAGCATCCCCCTCTTTTCTATTTAAAAGAAAAAATTCAGAAACAACTAAAAAAAGAGTTCCAAGTTCTGTAAAATTCTAAAAGTGTTTAAACCTAATAAAGTTTAAATTCATATAACAATGGTGAGTAAAAATGCAGTTTTAAAATTAAAATTTCTTAATTCATATGCACATTAATTCTCACATGAAAACATAGACTCACTTTAAAGCAGATGCAGATAATTTCTTTGAATCTGAAGTTTTCTTCTTCATTTCTTTGTTCTATGAAGAAAAAGTACTTTAAAAATAGCTTTCTTCCAATTAATATGCAATTTAGACAATATAGAAAAGTATATACAATGAAAATATTCTAAATCTTCCTATTTTGAAGTGTAAATGCTTATAGTTACATTTTCTTCAACTTGTGATCACATAGCACAATTTTATAGTCTTTTACTGATGATGTACCTTTTATCATTATCTTTCAAAAACCTGATTTCTCACGGTACTAAATAAAACATTTCAGATATGTACCTGCTATCACCCTGACCTACTTTATCAGGATCCAATGCTTTGGTCATTTACAACAGCCTCAGAAGGATCTCTCTAATTCTGTCCTGCCCTTCCACTACCCATACTCTTTCCATAACAATAAATGAGATTAAGGTTGCTATTCCTAAACTCAAAACCTTTCATCACACTGAAGGAAAAAAAACATAACAAAAACAGTCCAGTAGTCTCACCTTTCTTTGTGTGGTATGCATCCCAAGATTCGTAGAAGGTGACTGAAACTATTATGTACAAACCATATATATAAAACATACGTGTGTGTATTTTTCACTAAACATACCTATAATAGTTTAATTAATAAAATGAGTACAATAATAGATTAATAATAAACACAATATACTGTAATTTACATTAGGTGAATGCAGTCTCTTAAACATCATACTGAGTTTTTCACATCAATGAAGTATTTTATAGTTTCTCTTTGGCATACATAAACTTCCAACATACACAATAAGGCCATAATTGAGTGAAGTAAGAGTTATGTGAACAAAAGTACCATGAGCCTTAACAGAGACCACTACTAAGTAACTGAAGACCAGGTAGTATACACGGCAGAAATATGCAGGACAAAAGGATTATTCATGTCGCTGGCAGTTACACACTTTATTATACAACTCAGTCTAAAACATATGAAATGCTTATTTCAGAATTTTCCCCTTAATATTTTTAGGCTGCGGCTGATACTGGGTAACCAAATTACAGAAAAATGAAATATAAATAAAGGGGCACAGAAAATGGTCTCGAAGAGTTTATATTACACGTTCCCACTACTTTGTATCCCAAACTACCATGTATCAATACTGCACACTCAAACTCATTCTTTATGCTCCTCAATTGAGTTTATATAGGTGTGGAAATCTGTTTTATGCTGTTCCTTCTCTTTGAATGCCTTCAATCCAAGGCATGGCTAAAACCCTCATCTCTTCATGTGTTTGCACAAATTAACCTTTTCCATGAGACCTTCCCCCAACTACCTCAATGACAGCTTCTTGACACCCAATATGAGCATTTATATTCCCCTTTCCTGATATTTTTCACCATAGCATTTCTTGCCAACAGACATGATTTGTATAGATTTTAATTTTCTTTGTGGTACTTCTCCTGCTTCCCCTTGAAGTTAATCTCCAAGAGACCAGGGACATTGTTTCATTCAATATTCTATTCATGTGCCCAAAAATCACACTTGGCAACTAATGAGTATTTAGAAAATACTTGTAAAGTTGATCTGCATAATGTTCTCATATAATTTTATACTCTCTGGAGTTTTTGGAGGAAGATCATTTTTTGCTATTTCTTTCTACTATATGAAATTTTATTTCAAATGCCTCATTCAGCCCAATAATTTCAAAGATATTTAACTTATTTATTTACTTATACAGAGGGTCTCACTGTATAGACTTGGCAGGCCTGAAACTCACTTATGTAGACCTAGCTGAGAGCTCTGACTCCCACAAGGTAACCTCTTACCTACAGACAATGGCACATGTGCATGTGTGTACACATGCACACAAATAAATGTAAAATAAATGATTAGTCAATATTAATCTAAATAAAGAATAAAGAAAAATCTCTACCAGAAAGTAATTATGAAGTCATACCATAAAGTAATTATATTGCTGCAACAGAATAATTTCAAGGTATGTAGTCAATTTATACACACATAGGTAGTTTCTCAAATCAATCTGGAAAGACAGATTAGGCACAGATGTTGCTAGGTTTAGCCACCAACCTGTTTTGGAAATTATACTGATTTCAACTATACATTACACCATGAATAACAGATTAAGAAAATAATGAGAGCATATATTTTGGCACTGATAATAAAGTCCTATAAAACATGACAAAAGTTTAAAAAAAAAGGCAAAACCCACATAAATTTGAGTATATGAAAAATTTAGAAATTTCTTTCACATGTATTTTGTATGTGTGCTTATTACATGACACACTTGTGGAGGTCAGAGGACAACTTTTAGAAGTCAGTTCTCTCTTTCTACCATATGGGTTCCAGAGATCAAACTCAGGTCATAAGGCTTGGTGGAAAGTGCCTTAACTTGCTGAGCCATTTCTCCAGTCCAGTATATGGAAATATCATACATGTAAATATGCAAATAACATATTAAAGAAAACGCTTTTCACATAGAATACTAAATTAGTATATAGGATAATAATAAACACTTGTAAATGAATTTTTTCATTTGACTATGGAAAACTGCTTGTGGTGGCTCATGATAATACCAGCACCAGAGGCTGAAATAGGGTGACAGGAGTTTGAGGTCAGCCTGGGCTACATAGTAAAAGTCTTTCCCTCAAACAACAACAAAACACCAATAGAAAAACAGTTCATAAAGATAGCCAATAATTATGTTTTTTTAAAAGTTACAAGTTTACTAAAGATCAGGAAAATGCAAATTAAAACTAGATATACCAGGCTGGGTGTGGTAGTGCATGCTTTTAGTCCCAGCACTTGGGAGACAAAAGCAGACAGATCTCTGTGAGTCTGGAGTCAGCCTGGTCTCAGTAGCAAGTTCTAGGTCAGCCATGGCCTCATAAATGGCCTCTCATAAATCACAAGGGTGTTAATTATCACAGCGCTAAATGAGCTACTGATACTTATGACTACACATCTTTTAGCCCAACAACTGATGAGTATCATCTTAAAACACTGTCATAGGCTCTGGAGAGTGTACTCACTGGTTAAGACCACTGGCAGCTCTCTTGCAGAGGACCAAGGTTCAATTCCCAGCACCCACATGGTAAGTCAACAAATGTCCTTAACTACAATTCAAGGGGATGTGACTCCTTCTGGCCTCCATGAGCACTGTACAACATGGGTGCATACATATAGGCACAATACTCATACATATAAAAACCAACAACAGAAACACTGTCATAAATACAAAAGGATAGCCTGTAAAAGGCACACCATGACTTAACAAAAGTCTTACTTACAGGAATCAAAAACAAGCAATAATCTAAATGCCAATCAGTAAGGAACTGGTAATGTGATCATTATCATCATTATGATTATTAAAATAGCAGAACACAGAAGTTATAAAAGAATGAGGAAAACTTACACCAATTCTTTTTGTGTGTGTGTGTGTGTGTGTTTGAGACAGGGTCTCCCTGTAGCCCCAGCTGTCCTGGAACTATGTAGACCAGGCTGGCCTTGAATGCACAGAGATCCGCCTGCCTCTGCCTCTCCAGTGCTGGGATTAAAGGCATGTGCCACCACGCCTGGCTTACACAGATTCTTATGATTAAATTATTATTGACTGAAGAATGTAGGCTAAAGAAGCTTTGTAAAGTAGGTATTCCACAGCAAAAAAGAAGTTATAGTAAATAAGAACATACATACACAAAGTAAAACTTATTGGAAATTTTAAAGTAATTTTGTAGACATTAGCTATGGACATTTAAAGTACAGAATATGGCTTAGAGGGGATGGAGAGATGGGTTGTGGTTAATAGCACTGGCTGCTCTTGCAGAGGATCCGATCCAGGTTCAGTTCCCAACACCCACCTGGTAGCTAACGACTGTCTGTAACTCTAGTTCCAGGGGATCCAACACCCTCTTTTGACCTCTACAGGCACTGCATGCACATGATACATCTACATACATGTAAACATTCATACACATAAACATTTTTTAAATTTCTTTTAAAAAGAAAATGATCTATAAAGATTAAACTCATAAACACTGACATTATCTAAGGAAACAAAAGGTTCCAAAGAATACACCCTCTATGATTCTATTGACATAAAGTTCAAAGCAGTCAAAACATAATGATGATTTTAGAAATTAATGATCATCTATAAGCAAAAAAGGTTTTAGAACTGGAAAGAACCAGTTAAATGGCTTCTAAGATGTGGCCAATATTCTGTGTTGCAACCCAAGTAACAGTTTCACAGAAGTTTATTAATTTGGAAGTTTATTACCATACACTGTCTTAGTCTGTATAATAGTCATTTAATATTATACTATTTGGAGTGCTATATATGTATAAAAGTTTTTAATCTTTTGAACTAACATTTATGTGTTTTTCTACATGTGTGCCAAACATTTGAAAAGTAAAATAACAACAAACCATCAACTGAATTTACCTGTACTCTTTTCTTTCCTGGAACACACACTTTCACACTTTTTCCTTTTATCAGAAGAGGTGTTGTTTCACTGTGCTTCAAGACTGCAATAACTGCTTTTCTAAATTCCATTTCCAAGTAAGCCTGAAATGAAATTTTTGTGTGAAAAAAAAAAATCTATGTTTAAAAGACCCTGCATTTTATTGATTTATTCACTTTAACACAAGGTTTCATCCAAGCTGGCCTTGAATTACTATACCGCCAAGAGTGACCTTGAAATTCTGATCCTCCCATCTCCACCCCCCCAAGTGCTAGGGATTATGGGAATGGGCCACCTTGCCTGTCTGAAGACTGTTCATTTAAAATGGATTTAATACTTCTCAGTAGAATATAAAACTATGAAATTACCTCAAGACCTCATGCTTTTCTATTTTCGTTTTGCTAACCTATAATTTGATCTTAAAGTTGTTTCATACACAATATATATTCAACCTTATATAATTTCTATACTGTTATCAAGATAGGAGTTGTTCATGGCAAGAATAAGGAAGGAAGTCTAGGCTAACTGAACAACACGAGGGAGCCATGACATGGTCTAGATTGCTCTAAGTTTAACTTTTTTTTGGTCTTTTTGAGACAGGATCTCCCTGTAGCCCCAGCTGGCCTGGAACTCACTATGTAGACCAGGCTGGCCTTGAACTCATAGAAATTGGCCTGCCTTTGCTTCCCGAGTGCTGGGACTGAAGGTGTGTGGGGACCACGCTCGGCAGCTCTAAGTTTGACTCTTTAAACATGTTTTTAAAATACATTTTTATCCACTGAAGTTGGGACCTACAAACAAATATTATCTTTCCTGAACATCTATTCACAGTGGGCAAATTAATGCTATTTCATGACAACAAATTACATGAGAATTTCTGAGAAATATTATGAGTTGGTGAAGATTTTATCTAGTGAAAGAAGACTCAATTTTGATCTATAGGTATCTTAACATATTAAAAAAAATTCTTTCAATTTTATTACACATGTATAATGCACTTTGATTATACTCTCTTCCATTATCTTTTGTTTTTAAAAATATTTTTATTTATTGTTATTTTATGTGTATGAGTATACTGCCTACATGTGTATTAGTGCACCCTTATTGTACAATGCCCACAGAGGTTAGAAGAGGGTGTCGGATCCCCTGGAACTGGAATAACAGATGGTTGTCAGCCATCATGTGGGTGCTGGGAATCAAATCTGGGTCCTCTGCAAGAGCAGTCAGTACTCTTAATCACTGAGCCATCGTTCTAGTCCCCATTACCTTTTTATTAAAAAAATTTATTTATTACTTTTATGTGTATTGCCTACATGTATGTTAAGTGGACCTGTGCCATGCAATGCACACAGAGGTCAGAAGAGGGTGTTAGATTCTCCTGGAACTAAAGACATGGACAGTTGTTAGTTGTTGGGAACTGAACTTTGGTCATTTACAAGAGCAACCAGTGCTCTTAACAGCTGAGCCACCTCTCCAGCCCCTCCGTTTATCCTCTTATCCTTATCCCACACAAAGCCTTTCATCTTCCTAGTAAGCATGTCTTCTATTTTCATGTCATTTTTGTTTGCTTGTGGTTCACTGAATTTAATTAGGGTTGCATGCATGCACACAGGTGGGAGAGACAGACCTGATTTTTTTTTTTTTTAAGATTTACTTATTTTTATTTTTTGTGAGTGTTTTGCCTGCATGTATGTATGCAGGTGTATGTATCACATGCATGTAGTGCCCAAGGACACCAGAAGAGGAATTTAGATCTCTTGGAACTGGAATTACAGACAGTTATCAGCTGCCATATGGGTGCTGGGAACTGAATCCAGGTCCTCTGGAAAAGCAAGAAGTGCTCTTTCTCCAGCCCCTAAGCCTGACATTTTTAAGGCCATTTGCTTTTTTTTCTCTTTTTGGTCAACTACCATAACATCCAGTATCTTAACTCACAATAGTTCATTATACTTAAGTCTAAGATTGCTCATGATTTTCAAACTTTAAATTACCAAAACACAACATAAATGCAAATAATACTAACTATACAAAGGAAATCATTTATATAACTTAGGTGGTCTACATTATAGCATATTACTTATTTTTAGTTTTTAAGAATACAGAAATGCCTTCTCGCATATCTACAACTATTTTTATACCTCAGGGGCAATGTAGTTGTCATCCTATACTTAGCCTAAAATATTTATTATCTGGGCTTTTATTTTTAAGTGTGCCAGTTCTCTGGGACTTTGTTCCCTCATGAAGGCCTTTTTCCTTTGTCAATGCAAAAGCTGTGTAACAGTTAATATAGTTATCAACAAACAATTACACACGTAGTACAAGAAGCCAAGATACCCAACAACAGTTATCACCATTAAAGCAACAAATTGGTATAAATTTTCACAACTGACTGAATGACTCACCTCATTTCTACAGGGAACAAGAAGGACATCGTTAACCTTTCCAAATGGCTGAAATGCTTTTCTAATATCTTCTTCAGTATAGCCATCTTCTGGAAGTTCAGATACAAGAAGAATTGAATTGGAACTCAAAGACTGATCTTTCCGAGGCTAATTTTGGAGTGGGAAGAAAATTAAAAAGAAACCACATAAGCCATATATTAATAATAATTTCTCATATAATTTCTACTATTGATCTCAGTCCTCTAATGGATCTTTTCTAGATGCTATAGTTTTGTTCATTCTATGTTCTAATAATAAAAAAATATACTATTTTTTTTCTTTTTTTTTTTTTGGTCTTTTTGAGACAGGGTCTCCCTGTAGCTCCAGCTGGCCTGGAACTCAGAGATCTGCCTGCCTCTGCCTCCCAAGTGCTGGGATCAAAGGCGTGCATCACCACGCCTGGCATATATATAATATTTTAAAGGACTCATATATACCAGATGTAGGGGGCATATCTCTAATCCTAGCACCTGTAAGGTTAAGGCAAAAAGTGTAAGACCAGCTGGGACCCTGTATCAGAGAAAGGGTGGATACATATATAACGTATGCAATCTGAATATCCTATATCAAACTTATCACCTATGTTAAAAATTAACTAAAAAAGGAAAAACCTTTTGAAAGAATTGTGGCTATCCCTAAAGTCCTGAAACCAACCAATCAACCCCCCCCAAATTTATATACTATCTTATCAGACTAATTATCAGACTAATCAAATATTTTTTCTATATTTAACACTTCTTCCTAATGATTTTCAAACTTATATAACTACACATTGGTTATTTTAAGATTAAGGTTTAAAATATAACTTCTTTGGAAGAAGGAATATAATCGTTGAAAGTCCAACATATTTACACAAAATCAAGGGCAAATATTATAATTAAAAAATCAGACCTATTAAAGAGTTATTCTAATGACAGTTTAAGATATTTAATAGCAATTCAATAAAATATACAATAAAGCAATATTTCAGTATGGTAACAAGCAAATTATGATCAAAATATACAAGTAAATGAACACTAACAAACTATCTGCTACAAAAGATTATTTAACAGCTAAAATGCAACATAGAAAGTATAAAATAGACCGAAAATAATCAATTCTCACTTGTCTAGCTGACAAAAATTATACAAACTCATTAATATTGTTTACTTTCACTTCACCAATCACACAAGGCTCACCTCAATGATCTGCTTCTAAAGCTAAGCAATAGCTTCATCAAACCATCATAATGGTTTCTTTCGGTTTTGAGACAGAGTGTCTATATGAATTATTCTGCCTTAGCTTACCTCAGTGCTGGGATTATAATGCTACATTACAGCTGCTGGCCACTACCCTGACTACAACTTTTTTGGGCTTATTAAATACCAAGCATCGTGCATTCCTGAAATGCTGGGCTTTTATCATTCATAAGAGAAACCAATAAAATATTTCACAAAGTAATTTAACAAGTCTTAATTTCTAATTTATTGGAAATGTGAATTAAAATATTCAGACAATTGTTTTTCCTATTTTTCATTATAACAAATATATATACATTTGAGCTAATACACCGAAGAACTACTAACCTTTCGCTGGAGAAAAACACCTTTAGTAGACACCTGTTTACCTTCTGGTAAGGTATCATCTTCAAGATTCTTAGACTTCCGAGTAGAATGTCCTAAATGCACATCACTCTTTGTAGAGCTTACAGATTTCACTGACAGCTTTGCTCCACTGACAGCTTTAAGTTTTTGTGCTGGTGAGAGTCCTTTATCAACTGCTTCAAGATGTTTCAGTTTATTAAGTTCTGCCCCATGTCCAGAACGTTGTACTATATCTTCTAATGCCTTTTTTCTATCTAGTGAAAGAATATATATATATACAAACTTAATTTAAAAGAACTTTTAAAAAGTACTACTTTTATTACTATCCTGCCAGTTGTCCCTTACAGTGTACTAAATATTTCTTATAGTCATTAAATAAGATTATGTTACACAACAATGTTCACAAAAGCATAAAAATAAATGTTTCTTTTAAAAAAATAAAAGAACTTAAAGAACATCTATAAAAACCACTAGTAGACTCACAGTTAGTCTCAAGCCCAATGGGAAGCATATACACACAAAAAGAATTATTAGTCTTTAATTGTTCATCCCTAAAACTTTTATATGAAGTTCCTTTGTTCAGTTAGCTTCATCAACAGTCCTCAATATTTCAGTTGTAGGGTCCCTTTATGCTCTGAAGATTCCAAGGAGTTTGGTTTTTGTTGTTGCTATATTCTTGATATTTAGCATATTGAAAATTAGAATATAATTTTAAAACTATTTAATAGTAAACTTCTCTATATATTTTTATAAAAAACAACTGTAATTCCCCAAAGAACAAGGGAGATAAATATTACCACTCATCATTTTCCCAAACATACTAACAATGGCCTTGAAAGATCCCTAAATTCTCACTCCTGCTTCTGCATCATGTATGTTTGGTTTGAAATATACACACATACCTGGACAAAGAAAAGACCTCACAGAACTCTGAAAAGATATTATAGACCCCTATGGAGGACTTGGGGTCTTAGACCATAATGAGATCATCTGCCTTGCAGATTTATAAGTATTTCCATTTACATTCAATTTCTTAAAATATATTGAATACATTTTAAGATATGTGCAATGTATTACCTACACAATGAACAATGATCTCCTTCACTGGCGGCTTTACATGCATACATACACACACACACACAATTTTATATATTAATGTATTAGCTATTTCTGGAGAGGTGATTAAACCAGTATTAAATAATTAAGACATAATTATTCAAAATACTAAGGTTGGCCTCAAAACTGACTACGTAGTTGAGGATAACTCTGAACTCTTGATGCCTATCTCAGTCTCCCAAGTGCTGGAATTACAGGTGTGCACATCATGCTTATCTTATATCCCTGGTTTTTTAAAAACTGATGCTGATGAATTAGAAGCATAATGGAGTCTGAAGTGACTTGGATTTCATATAGCAATTTTAAATTCAATAAAACCAAACATTTCAGGCTGGAGAGATGGCTTAGTGGTTAACAGCACTGGATGCTCTTGCAGAGGTTCCAGGCTCGATTCCCAGCACCCACAAGGCTGTTAACAACCATCCATAACTTCAGTTCCAGGAGAATCCGACGCCCTCTTCCGACCTCTTTGGGCACTGCACAACATAGGTGCACTTACATACATGAAGGCAATACACTCATACACATAAAAAAATAAACTATATTTTAAAATAAAAAACATAGCCAGGTATGGTAGCACACACCTAATTTAATATCAGCACTTAGAAGGCAGAGGCAGACGGATCTCTGTGAGCTCAAGGCCAGCCTGGTCTACACTGAGCTCCAGCTCAGCTGAGGCTACAGAGACCTTGTCTAAAAAGACAAAAAAAAAACCCCAAAAAACATTGAAACAAAAGGAATTAAAACCCTTAGTCAAAATAAGTATGGTTTCAAGGTCATTAGCATACCTGACGATCTCACAGATCTTCTTGATGTTCTTTCAGGGCTAACAGATCGATAGCGTTTTGGACTTCCTCTAAATATATTTCTACTTCGACATGGTGAACGGGATCTAGATCTGGATCTGTACCTAGAAATGAAACGATGGCAAATTCTTGGACTTCGACTCCTTGGTCTATATGTGTAACGCGTTGGACTTCGAGAGCGACGGAACCTGTGACTTGAGCTTGATCTCCTAGAATGCCTGGGACTGGGAGAATGAGAACGTCTTCTTGGAGTTTCATTTTCTTTTCTATTGCTCTCATTTCTACAGAGTAGAAAAATAAAACAAAACTCAGCAATTTAATGCAAATATAAATTGTATTAAATGACAGAAGTAGCTTCTTTCTTTTTATAAATTACTTATATTAAGTGTACATGCTTGTGGGGTGGGCATTGGGGTGGGCACACACATGTGTGCAGGTGCCTGCTGAGGCCAGAGGCAAGGAAGACCCCTGGAGGTGGAGTTATAGGTGGTTGTAGCCACCCAAAGTTGGTGCTGGGAACTGAACTGTGGTCATCTGGAAGAGCAGCAGTATGTTCTCTTAACTGTTGAGCCATCTCTCCAGCACTTTCTTTGTTTTGTTTTGTTTTTTGAGACAGGGTTTCACTAGCCCAGGCTAACTTTGAACTTGTGGTAATCTTCGTGCCTCAGTCTCCCAAGTGTTGGGATTATAGTGTGAGCCACCATGCCTCGCTCAGTGGTAGGTAGAGGTGTTTGCATGCAAACCTGATGACCTGAGTTTAATTCCAGAATCCCACAAGGTGTCAGGGGAGAACTAACTCTGGAAAGTTGTCCTCTGACCTCAACATGCACCATGACACATGGACACCTACACACACACACACACACACACACACACACACACACACACACACCATATTAAAATTTAAAACTATTACCAATACTAAAGTCTGAGAACAGATATTTAAAAAACAAAAACAAACCCTGTTTGTCATAATATATTCAGCCTTGTGGGTATGGAAATAATCAGAATAAATTATCAGTTTCCAGTTTGCTTAGAATCCTTATCTTTTCTAGTTTTCATTAGAGTATCTTCATCTATTTCTTAGACTTTTCTCTCTACCACTTACTTTGCAACTATTAAGTTGTGTAAAGAATTTAGGAAATGATGCCAGGCATGGTGGCACAATCATTTAATTCCAGCACTCTGTGAGACAGAGGCCAGTCTGGTCTATATAAGGGAGACCCTGTCAATACAAACAAAAATCCAAAATAAACAAAAAATGAATTTAGGAAATTATTTATATAAACAAATGTTTTTCAACAAATTTTCCCTGAAAGATTACACCATTCAAAAAATGACTTCTGTACACGTGTGTATAGACATAACTAAGTAAAGACCCTAAGGGAATTCAAAATCAAGCAAGATCACTTCTAGTATTCAAGATATTATAGTCAAAGATCTGACAAACACAAAGTAATAATGAAATCAGAATAAAACATTTTCCCAAGACTAAAAGAAGTGCAAGCTCATAAAAGGAAGGTATCACATTTAAGTTGGAATAAAACTGAACCACAGGGGTTGGAGACATGGCTCAGCAGTTAAGAGCACTGACTGCTCTTGCAGAGGACTCAAATTTGATTCCTACCACCCACATGGCAGCTAACAACCATGCACAACTCCAATTACAGGAGATCCCACACCCTCTTATGATCTCCACAAACATCGCATGACAAGGGTGCACCTTCCTCCATTCAAGCAATACACTCATACACATAATATAAAAATACATAAAATATTTTTAAAAAACCACAGATTTTTGCACATGCCAACTTTAAAAATAAACATGATAAAAGCAGAACACAAGTTACAAAAAATAACTTAAAAATTAATTGTTTACTTTTACAAGGGTAACATTATTAGCACTATTTTTAAAATATTACCTTCTTGATGGGAGGATCTCAGGATTCCAATCGGGGTATCTAGTTTAAAAATAAGCAATATTAATGAACAGTTTAAATAGAGTAAGAAGGCTCAACTGATCTTTACTACAATGTATCAGAACTGTTGAAACTTTTTATGTAGCAATTTAATAATATTTTAAAATATGAAAGTCTTCCTGAAAGTAAAATAGTTTGTGTCTAATCCAGTATATAACCAAGGTATTATGCTAGCAGGGATATCAGAAGAACATATTCCCAAGATCTCAATTTTTTTTTTTTAATGTAAAATGAATAGCACACACAAAAGTGCTCACGGTTACAAAATGTTAAGTTTAGGTTGGAGTAAAACGAGAAGACAGATGCTAGGCTTGATAGTGTATGCCTGTTTTCTTAGCACTTGGGAGGTAGAAAAGGGAGATCAAGAACTCAAGGTCATCCTTCTATATGTGGTAAGTCTGAGGCCAGCAGTCTGGGCAACATGAGACCCTGTCTCAAAAGAAAAAAAAAAAGCTGCTGGGATGATACCTCTTAAGTTTGATCTCTAAATCCATTTAAAAAGACAGGCATGGTGATTGTGCTTGCAATCCCAATGGTGGGGAGGCAGAGACAGGCAGATAAATGCCTAGGGGTCTCTGGTCGGCCAGCCTAGCCTAATAAGGAGCCCCAGGTCCCAGTGAGAGACCCTGTCTGAAAAAAGAAGGTAGAAGGCTCCTGAGGATCTACATCCAAGACTGACATCTGGCCAGCACATATTCACATGTATATGCACCCACATATGCACACAAGAGAGAAAGAGAATTAATATCTCACCAATTTTACAAAATTCTAGGGAAAGGCTAAGAGCACATACTACTCTTAAAGAAGACCTGAGTTTGGTTCCCAGCACCCATACTGGGTGACTCACAACAGCCTATAACTCCAGCTCTAGAAGGATCCCATGCACCTACACTTGTATGAATACCACCCCCCAAAATACCCATACACATATCTTTAAAAAAGCCTCAAGAAGACACCCCATTCTCATATTCTATGTGGCAACATAGAGAATACAATATTATATCATACTCTTTAAGGTATATCAAGTAGTCCTTGGAGAAATACATGTAAGTAAGAGGAACTGAAAGACATTTGACAGAAAAAAAGGTTGCTTTTAAGGTAGTACTTAAAAAATTCATGGATCAGGCAGTGGCAACAAACAAATGAGTAACTTGGAAGCAAAACCTAGGTGTCCTATCCAAGGAACTGGTATGCTGCAGCACAGAAAAGATGGAAAGGAATGATAAAGGAGAAAAATCTAGAGTGGTTCATTAGAAAGAAACAAACTATGTAGAGCCCTGAAATCAGGTAATGTTACATACAAATAAGACAAAGTCAGGCATGGTGGCACACATCTTTTTTATTTTTATTTTTTTAACATTTACAAAAACTTTATTGAGAATTTCATACACGCATATACGGTATTTTGATCAAATCCATGCCCACTCCTTTCCTTCCAACACCTCCCATATCTCCTATCACTTTTTTCTTTTTTTTTTCCTTCTTTCATTTATTTATTTTTATGTGGCTTTTGGGTACTCTAACATTCCCTCCTCTGAAGAATTGTAACCCTAAAATCTTTTAAGGATTAGATACAAGCTCCCAAAAACTTCTGACATTTTTGGCCTTTGGAACAGAGTATGTTGCTAACAGTCCCAAGGACATTTTGACTGTTAGCCAAGAAACTGGCTACTTTTCTTTGGGTCTTTTTACCCTAACTGCCTAGCCAATTCCTACCTCCTATTCTTATCACGCCATCCTCTGAAGGGGTTACTCAAATTACCAATAGGGAATAGGGATGCAGACAGCTTTGGCTTCTTCCATTGCGGAACAGGGATGCAGGGTGAGGCAACTGGAGTACCCCTTTAGTGGGTCTACCTAAAAGACTCCCAAATTATAACTCTTATCTCTAAGGGGAAAAGAAAAGTCCTTGAATTGTGAATAGGCAATGTGAAGAAGAAGTAAAGGCAAAAGTAATTAGCATTACAAGTTCTAGACAGGGAACTAGAAGAGTCAGAACAGGGCAATTTTCAAATGTTCACATGAGAGTCCATTGGAATTTCTTGACAAGGGCTTCTAAAAGCATCCCTCTATTGGGTTCTTCCTCACTTTTCTTTTAAAACCACCAGGCGGATCTCTGTGAATTCAGGGTCAGTCTGGTCTACATAGTGAGTTCTACAGGGAGACCCCTCTTGAAAAGACCAAAATACAAACAAACAACAAAAAACCCCAAGCAAATAAAAAGACAATGGGGACTACTCATGAACATACCTCTCATTTTTCCTAATTAAAAAAAATTATTGTTGTATGAGAGGAGAGATAGAAATGAATGTGGATGCACGTGCCACAGAGTACATGTTGAGGTCAGAGGCCAACTGTGTGGAGTTGGTTCTCTCCTTCCACCTTTATCTGGGTTCCAAGGATCAAACTGAGGTCAGCAAGCTTGCAGAGCAAGCACCTTTACCAACACTGAGCCATCGTGCCAACACCCTCATGAACATTTCTAAAGGTAATAATAAGGAAATGTTTTCACAACATTGGGAAATGAGTATCTAGAATAAAGAAAAGATGAAGATTAAGCTATTTAGAAATTAGACATGAAGAAGCCACAGTTATAGTCTTAAGAGTGAAACCAACACAGGGTCGATATATAAACATGGGGGCTGAGAATAGAATCTTATGCTTGCTAACACTTAAGTATAAAAAGAAAAAACAACAGAATAAAGAATCACAAAGAAAAAGAGGTAAAGGGAACAGAAATATAGAAGCCTAAGAAAAACTATCTTCATCTTCAATAAGGAATCTGCAATCTAATATGTAATTGGACATAGTGATTATTTTAAATTACTACTATCCAATAATTCAATTTCAGTAGCAAGATAAAAAGTAAGAAAATGGAAGGAGCAACTATTTCAACAATTTCCTATCAAGAAAATGAAATTATGTCAAAACCCTTTGAAGAGGTACAGCAGTTTTATTTGTTGCTGTATGCTTTAGATATTGCTCATGAGTTAATCCAACATTCTCAATTCCCCTTTCCCTTGCCTGCCTATAGTACAAACAGTAAACAAATCGAGTATCTGCTTTCTCACTTCCCTAAAGGCAGGAATAGGCTCTACCCAGTGTAACGTAAGTGGAAGATAACTAACAAAATTCTTTGCTTATTTTTATTTTGTTTTATGACACTGGAGATTGAACCTAGGGCTTCACACGTTAGGCAAGTGCACCTCCACGGAGCTACATTCCCAGTCCAAGATTTCTAAGTGCTTTTGCCTCCTTCCTGGTTTGGGACTAGAGAGCCATTGTCTGAAGTATATTTAACCTAAAAAGTAACAAACCATGAAAACAGTAAGGCTCATTTTAATCTGATATATCCATGAACTAGTGTCCAAAATTTCTAACACATGGGTAATTTTGTTTCATCTATTCACTTAAACTAATGCCCTTCAACATGTAGTACCTTCTAGGAAGACGTCTAGGTTTAAATGTAGACTCTGGTCATGTAGTTTAAAGCCAGTTAGTTACTTGCTTTAATATGTGTAAGCCTTAGCTTTCTCATGTTGCAAATACAGCAGGCTGTCAATACATCAAATTATTATTGTTTCCAGAGCTCTTCGGTTTATAGTTCATAAGAACTAAAGAACTATATTCAAAAGTTGAGGAGCCAGTCATGGTATATTTGTAATTCCAGCACTCTTTCCACAGGAAAGAGGATCCCAAGTTTGATGCCAGCATGGAATACATAGTGAGATGCTGGCTCAAAACAACAACAACAAAGCCCTAGCCAAAAAATGTTGATTTTTAAAAAAAAATATTTTTATTATTTTTACGTCTGTGAGTGTATTGCCTGCACGTGTGTGAGTGCACCCATGTCGTGCAATGCTGCGGAGATCAGAAGAGGGCTTCGGATTCCCCTGGAACTGGAGTTAAGGATGGTTCGTAGCCACCATGTGGGTGCTGGGAATCGAACGAGGGTCCTCTGCAAGAACAGTCAGTGCTCTTAACCGCTGAGCCATCTCTCTAGCTCCAATGATGTTTTAAGCCTTCACTAAATTACCTAGTGAGACACATGTTCTTATCTATGTAGTTCAAGGCAAAAAGATAAAGTGAATATACTAATCTTCAAGTAGAGTACGGGCCACTCAATATATTACCTAATTAGTCAAAGATAACATTTTGTAAGCATGATGCAACGCAAGTAAATAACATGTGTCACAATGTAATGCAGTATGTATGTGTACACATACACACATGCATATCCAAGTATTTGTGACAAAAAGTTCAACCTAAACTTACTAACAACCAAACATAAAAGTACAAAATATAACACATTAAAAAAGTCTTGACAAACTTTTCAAAAGTCGACATCATGAAAACACTGGAGAGGGAGAGAGAGAGGAGGGGAGAGGGAGGGAGAGAGGAGGGGAGGGAGGGAGGGAAGGAGGAAAGGAGAGAATGCTATTTCAGATTAAGAGACTATAATGCATGAATCTTGACAGAACCTGGATGGGGGGGTACATATGGGTACAGTTAAGAACAGTTTATAAAAGAAATCTTGGAAACAATTACAAGATTTGAATTTGGCCTGTATCTTAGAAGACACTGCAGAATTACTATTAATCATCTTAAATGTGGTATGTTGTGGCTACGGAAAAATTTCCTTATTCTTACAAGACAAATGTTGATGATAAATACACTAAATGTTAACAACTGATGAATATAAAAGAATTAATGAACATAATTTATCTCCCACCAACTTTCCTGTGGCTTAAAAATTTTTTGTAATAAAATACTGAGAAGATATAAAGAGCAAAGGGCCACGAGCTAGATGAACTAATTGTATTAATTATCTGCTGTATGGCAGTAGGGAAATTGTCTCCTTATGCCTCAGTACGTCACTGGTAAAATAAAAGATAATCATGCACATTAAGATTGCACGCATATATTATTAAAGCACTGAGAATAATGTCCTACATACAATAAATACAGTATAATCATCTATTTTTAACACTAAAATTCTGATGCAGGTTAACATTGTTATAATTCAGAAAAAAAACTAACAAAGGCAAAGAGAAAAACAAGAACTACGACTCGAAATATCTATCAATACAAGAATAACTACATATAGTATACATACACAATGGAACATAGTACAGCCTAAAAGAGAAAAGAATAAAGATTCCAAGTACTTAATCAAGACCTAATTTATTTGGTAAAAATTTTTTGCAGCAGAGAAAATCATGAAGAAATTACTCAAGAAGACACAATCTGAATAAGGGACGAGTTGGACGGAACATTAAAGTAACAGGTTTGAAAAGCATATGGTTTAGCCAGGCATGGTAGTGCATGTCTTTACTCCCAGCACTTGGGAAGCAGAGGCAGGTGAATCTCTATGAGTTCAAGGCCAGCCCCACTACAGGGAGACCCTGTCTCAAAAAGAAAAAGAAAAAAAAAAAAAAAAAAAAAAAAAAAAGAAAAGCATATGGTTTAAAATCAAACTCCTGGGGTTGAGAAATCACTCAGCAGTTTAAGACCCCAGTTTGGTTCCCAGCTCCTACACAGTAGCTCACAACCATCTGTAACTCTAGACATTTTTAAAATCTTGAAAAAAATAGGCAAGGTCCTATGTTCATAGGGGGGAAAAGGCTATCTACACAGAAGGCTTTAAAAGATACACACACCCACATACCATTTGTTCTAGTGAATTAATGACAGTGAAGCTATGTTCTCTTACTAACATGAATAACTAACTACCTAAAGCAAATAACTCACTCTGTAGAAAGACTCTATTTACAGTAGTAGTAGTAGTAGTAGTAGTAGTAGTAGCAGCAGCAGCAGCAGTAGTATGAGCTTGTCCTGGGAATGGCAAGTTAGATGGGCAAGCAATGGACTGATGCTTTCTTCTCTAGCTGGGATTCCCCTGCTTGCTTCAATCACTACAAATTAATTTGACTACAGACCCAGACTATAGACCCCTATAGACTATAGGAGGGGGAGGGCAGAAAGAGTCAGTCATCCCTCCCACCCAATCAGTTGGCATTATCTGCATAAGGGAGAGTAACTAAGGACAGGGACAGGGGAAACGGGGGTGGCGGTGGGGGGGTGGGGGAGTGTTATCTTGGGTCACCGCCAAAGGTCAAGGGGTCCTGGCCAAGATGTAGGAAGGAAGCCCACATGTGCTCACACCTTTGTAAGTTACCCCCATCACCACCCTATGCTCTGTTAGTAAGTCCAACAAATTATTTTGTTCCCTAAACTGTAGTTTAGAGGAATACTATCTTGGTTTGTCGTAAGGACGATAGGAGGAGGGAGCCAGAAGCAGCGTGTGCCTCTGAGAAATAAAATTTAACTACAAGTAGTTGTAAGACATATCTAGATCTAGCAACAAAGTGACCAATCCCAATTTCTATTTAAGTCTACCTGATTCAGGTAGGAGTTCTACTCTCAAATCCAGGAGTGGGCAAATGATACCAATTTGAGGGCTGTGTATTATTACCATAGCCACTATAATTGGTTTAGAGACAGACAATGGTACTTGCAGAAGTTACTCGGGGGGTGGGGAGGCAGTGATCTTGGGGCTTGAAAGGTTGAAACATTAGGGATTAGGAGTTCGAGGCCACCCTGGGCTACATAGTGAGGTTGTCTGGGGCTACTTGAGACCCTGTCTCAAAACAAAAACAAATCCAAAACAAAACAAAATACAGCACCTAAAAATACCAATAATACTCGGATCAAAACTACAGGAACCATTTTGCTATATACCTGAGTTCTCATGAGGCCAGAGCAGGGCTAAGAAATGGAAATATTCTTGATAGTCATTTTTGTTTGATCATAAAATTCAGCTGTTCCTGAAACTAGAACCACTAGAGTCTCCCATTTAGATGAATAATTCCCTTTCTTTAAAGACAATTTTGGCCAAGCATGGTAGTACATGTCTATAATCCTAGCATTTAGGAGGTGAAGGCAGGAGGATTTAGAGTTCAGAGCTAGTCTGGACTACATGAGACTCTGTCTCAAAATATCAAAATAATAAAAATAATATTTTTAAAATGTATTTTGAGTTAGGCTTATGACTTTACAGAAAGAGTCCTGAAAAATAATCTCAAAGTCCAAGAAGATGGTATCAGTTTGGTGACTAGGAACTATTTAATTATGCTGGGGTAAACACAATTTAACTTTGTTATACTAAAAGGTATAGGAAAAGACAGTTATAATCACACTTTTTACTTTTATGGCTAGTCAGGGAAACCCTCCCAGATAGCCTGCTTGAAGAAGGAAAAATAACTGGACCAATATTCATCTCTTAAGTTTTATTCTAATAGGTTATGAGCCAAAAAAAAGTTTTATACTGGAAATTCAACATTGGTATATAGTCTGAGTTAGTTTTTAGTTATTTAACCTTTGAAAAGCGAGTGCAATAATAAAAAAGAATGGTATCGGCTCTGAAATAAACCAAACCAATAATAATAATAATAATAATAATAATAATAATAATATAACCACCTACTGGGCCTTAAATTAAGGAGTCAGATAAAGGATCACACTGAATTCTCTTCTTTTGGAAAAACATTAAATATACTTCTCTAAGGTTATTTTAAATAGGCAATAGGTATAAAAAATATTTAAACAAATTATCACACTAAATATGTTTAATAGCTCTGTTGCTACCCATTTTTTAACTCTGCCACCTACAAAAAAGGGAAAAAAAGTTCTTACTGTTGACGTAACTGTCGACAGCTCTCAATATGGGTGGAAGTATTTTGATGCTGAATCCAATCCTATTGTAAAAGAAAAGAAGTGTTGAAATTAAAATATTCCTCATACTGACCAGTGAATTAGGCTTTTTTTTTAAATGACAAAGAATATTTGAAAATTTACCAAATCTGGTTATAAATAGCATTTGGTTATAACAAAATATTCACATACAAAAATTAAAAGCATCCAAACAAATACATTTAACCCCACACACTTCTGATCCCATTTAAAAATATATATATGATATATGGAGAAAATAAAAGCATAGATCAAAAAATAACATCTCGGGCTACAGATGGCTCAACGGTTAACAGCACTCATTGACTCCTGCAGAGGACCTGGTTTCAGTTCCCAGAAGATACATGGTAGCAAACACTATAACTCTAGTTCCATGGGATTCAATGCCCTTGTCTGGCCTCCAAGGGCACCACACACATGTAGTCCACTTACATACATGTAAGCAAAACACTCATACACACATAATAATTTTTAAAAAACTAAATTGGATGTGGTGGCACATGCCATTAAAACCCAGCACTCAGAAGGTGGAGGCAGAGGCAGGCAGATCTCTGAGTTCAAGGCCAGCCTGTTTTACATATCAAGTTCTAGGCTAGCTGGGGCTACATAGTGAGACCTTGTCTCTAAAAACAAAACACACACACACACAGATATATATATATATAAAAACATTACACAAAACACCCAAAATTCTATAAACTAGTATCTGAGATGGCATCTTTAAAATACTGCATCTCAATGACTTATTCCTCTGAAGGTCAAATTAATGACAGCAACCACAAAAAATGCTATCTCATAAGCCAGTAGCATTCCAAACAAGGTACATACTATATTGGGGAAAAGATCGGTAAAATAGGAACAACTGCCACTAATTAATATTAACTTATTTTCAAGATTTAAAGGAAAATAACACCATTTCAAAGACACAAAATCCCTTAATATAGAGTTTTACAATTAACAAAATGTTTTCTTATACATTATTTTGTTTACAAATAAATCTGCCCTAAAATTACAATCTGTAACCATAAATAGCTCCTGGAAGATACATCTGATTAAGGGAGGTAGGGACAGGACACATTTTTTAAAGCAAGTCTCCAGTACAACAATTAATTAAAAGTAACATGCATATTACCCAATATTTTATTGTTCCTCCAGCATTTGGAAAGGCAAAAGAACTCACTAAACAGCTCTGTCATTTTAAAACTTCCCTTGAGGAAAATTTTATTAGTTTTTACTTCAAAAACATTTTAGTTTAGATCACTGCCCAGACAAGCTTAAAGTTTCCACAGTTAAGCTCCAGTTGACATCAATTTTGGATTCTGACTTGGCAAAAACTAAGAGTACATACTACTCTCAACACTGCACAACAAGTTTTGACTACACTATTTCATTAAAGTTTCCTTAATTGCAGGCTATATGTGCATATCTCTTCCTTTGTGCTCCAAATGGAAAGCTAGAAGAAATTAGTAATTAAGAGTATGTAATAGTGCTCGATCCATGTCTTTGATAGAAATCAGACATTGTTTTTAACAAAAACACAAACACTGGCAAGCAGGAAGTTGGGCGTTGATTTATTTGCACCATAAAATGTTTTAAGAAGTTGCCAACACTTACAAACCCGGAGATTTTACCCCAAAATCTCATTTCCAGATTTTCTTGAAAAGCATACTAAGAAATGATAATGCTGGATATGCTTTCTTATAATAAGTATAGACTGAAGGTGGTTTCTGCCCTACTTTCTCCACATTCTACACACTTTCTACAATCAACACACACATGCACACTACTGTCTGTCAACAAGCATCCTTCCCTGATACAGCTGCCTATACCATTCCAATTTCTAGACTTTCTGGCAACAGTACCCTGATAATGGCTCAAAAGCAGCACTGCCTCAACAGTAATAATAATTACCTAGTAAGCAAAAGATGCTGCAAGGACTACAGTCAGGCTGGTTCAGAACGAAATTGTGAAAACATTTATTCCTATCGAAGCTTGCTCCTTATTTTGACTAGCCTCAAAAAATGTTGGCTGGCTGATGATCTGAGTTCGATCCCTGGGAACTCATGGTGGAATGAGAGTCTAACTCTGAAAAGTTGTCCTCCGACTGCTATACAAACACATGGTTCCCACTTGTGTGTCCTACTCACAAACACACAAAATAAATTAATCCATTTAAAAATGTAGGTTAAGATTTTTCTTGAATCAAATTATTTCAGTCAAAAGGCATAGGAAAGGAAATCAAGGCAAGTTCCTTTAAAACCTGAACCCCAATTTAGTGAGAAAACACATTTTACATTCTATTTACATTCTATTACTGCATCCTAAAAGTACATCTTCAAGCTAGTCTTTCAGAGACAAAGGTAGAAAGCAAAGGTATTGTAGGATTTACTTGATAAGAAAAAGCCTGAAATGAGAAATTCACAATTTCTGGCTACATATTTATGCTATATATATGCAAACTTATGAAGCAATAAAACACACCAGAAACAAGAGGCAGTTTGCATATATAAATCCATATTTTCATACTATCCTTATCCATTCAGCAATGAAGAATTTATTAATTAGATGCACCCCAATCTATTGTGCTAATTGTTCATTGTTTGGGGGGGGTATGCATGTGTGTGCACACTACGTTTGAATGCAGGTGCAAACATCCATGGCAAACGTGGAGGTCGGAGGTCAGAGGACAACATCGGGTGTTGGTCCTCACCGTCCACCTTGTTTGATAGAGGGTTTCTGTTGTTTTCCTGCTGCATATGCCAGGCTAGCTGGCCTGCAAGCTTCTGGGGATTCTCCAGTCTCTACCTCCCCAACTTCCCATAGGAGCACTGGAATTAGACACAGTATGTATACAACTTTTACATGGATTCTGAGGATTTGAACTCAGGTCTTCACACCTGCAACTGCTTTGTCTCACTAAGTAATCGCCCCAGCCCGAAAGATATGTTTTTTCACTAGCAGTCTTTAGAAACTCTAATGATAATTAAATGATTTCCTCTGCTCCGAAAATTTTACTTTATCTTGTTAACCCAGGCTTCTCCGCCTTATACCTGAATAAAGATACCCTTACCCATTCCATCTCACTTTTCATTCCTGTTTATCTACTTATCAGACCTCCTTGAAACACTTTCAATGTACTGTTCACATACCAAGAAATTTAATTTGCTTCCTTGTGTTTTAGCAAATCTAAACTTATGCTAGCTTTCCAAAACCCTTCAAAGTTATTTCTATTATGTTCTTCACTGCCTCCTACCACAAGGTCTTCTCTCAGAATCTGTACCTATCTATACAAGGTGCTGCTCCTGACTGGACTACTATCTCCCCTCTTTAGATAATTGTATCTAAACCCTTCTCGTCATTCTTCAAACTATGAAGTCTTCCCTCCCAGAGCATTCCAGTCCAAATCAACAGTGCATTGAGTAACTATCACTCCATTACTCTAACTAGACAATAAAAGTCTTGATACCAGAACTAGATACACTATAGGTACTGGTAAACTGATAATGCTAGCCTGAATGCTACAAATATGAAACATACATAGAAACACTAAATATCTTTCCTCTACAGCATGGCTAAATAAAGTCAAATACATCACCAAACCATTTGTTTCTAGTTTTTAAATTTTCCTCAGATATACAATTTTTTCCTCAATGAGAATGTATAAATTGCTTTTAAAAAGAACCAAATTTTATATAGTTCTTTATTTCTGTGCCAGCCTCTATCAGAGAATCATGTACAAAATAAGTAAATACATAATGAATAAATATATACCTTTTCTCCAATACAGAATAAAAATGAAAAATCCACAAGTTCTTTGAGATGTATTATTTTCTTCAACGAATCAAGACTGATTAAAAGTTCAAAATATATGGAAAACTTAATGGTAGGCTCAGTTACAATAGCAAAGAGAGCCTAACAATCAATTTGGTACTTAGTACAGGGCTAGTTACAGATTAGAAAGTGCTATGAATAACTCTGAGATTTTTCTATAACTATCATTGTATTAGAATTCAGCTTGTCTAAAATGGATAGTGATGCTTTTTTATTTTTCTCCCTATGAACACTGGAGACTGAACCCAGAGTCTGGTGTGTGTAAGAATGTGCTCTATAGTTGAACAACACTCCCAGCCCAGAATGATGCTTTCTTTTGTTAATCTTAAAACAATAGCAATGGGTTCGGATTATTGACCAAAACCTAATGAATAAATTAAAAGACAAAACAGCAATATATTAAAGGTGGAAAAATAGCAAGAGAATTAACATCTACATATCTGTAAGCCTTTCAAACTATATAGCCAATTCAAGGCTAAAGCTCTCAATCAAAGCTTTGTAACGTCCATTCTCCATTCCCATCTCACCATTTACCATCTATATCTACAAATGACATTAGTAAACAGAACTAGTGGTTCCTACACACGTATGTAAAAAACAGAAATTCCTGCTCCAATTTCCCAATGGCTACTATCAAACAGTATATTCTACATAATACTATTCTTCAACACTTCTGCAAAAATGTCCTTCTATAAGTATTAATCATGAAAGTACCTTACACATACATCTTAGATCTTCCTTTCCTGATTTCTAGCATTTTACTTTATTTTCTGAGCTTAAGGCAGGTTCCATAATAATCAGTAATTCCTGATCATTTTGCGGGAATTATTTTAGGAAGTTCTTTCTCAAGAAATACTGAAAAATTATTGGCCCATACAAAAACCAGAAACATTTCAACAAAATGTTTTTAGCTTAAGATAGACACATATGGTAAAAATATACTCTCTTAAAAGTGTACTTGACAAATAAGTTAACCAGGTTTTATATTTTTATTCTAACACACGTCAGACATATCTCTCATTTAACACTGTGTTATGAGTACATCGTTTATGTTGTATTAATTTGATATTGCATAAATGGGATAACTAAAAACTCAAAATAAATGGCAAACTATTTAGCATGCCCAGGAACAGAATGCAGAAAGCCTAATATTTAACTCAGTATTAAAGCCGTAGCTACTCAAGATTACAGCTAAGTGCTGAATTTGCAATCAAGACTAATTTCTGTCATTTGCTTACTGCCTTGTTACCACCAGTAGACATATCAGAATTTAGAGAAAACTTGGGGCCCTGAGCATCATTATACAGTGATCTTTAAAAACACTCACCTTCAAATGACTACATTCTACGTTACAGAGAGAACACAAATGTGGAAATATTCTTGGAGACGCTGCATAATAATCATTCATCATAGAAGGAGTTGGCAGTCTCTTCATTTTCTGGGCATCAGCGTGTGAAAACGTTGGTAGCCATGATGCTTTCACAATTCCAAAGGGAGACCGAATGGGCAGATCAGTCTCTGACTGATAGTTCTTTTTACTTCCTCTTGGTCCAACATGTACATCAGCTGTACTAATCACAGGTTTATGTGGGATCCGCTCTTCCTGGCTTATAGCTGAAATTAATTCAGATGAAAAAGGTTGCTGGTTCAAAGATGGAGGAATCAGAGACTGGCTCATTGGCTGGCTAACTGTTTGGCTAATAGATTTTACAGGTTCAAGGACTGACTGTCCTGAAATGTGTAAGCCTGACATCTTGGCTCCACTTTCAACTGGGAAAAAAGACTGATTGGAGGAATCACGGGGGAAGTCCATCTGGCGAAATACATCTTCAACAGGAAACATAGAATTACAAATCACATTTGGAGTGGGAACAGATGCAGAAATGCTCTGCTGCGACCGAAATTCATTCTTGACCTCATCAGTCGGAATTTCAGGATCATAAATACGTACTTCAAGTGGATCTTCTGTGTAGCCATATTTGCTTGCATGCCCATAATCTATCACATTGCTTGAAACTGCTTCATTACCAAGTGTTTCTTTGTTTCTACTGTGAGGAGGTAAATTAGGTAATCGGCGCCCCATTTTTCGCATTCTTATATCCCGCAATATTAATGGCATATTTTCAGGAGTTAGTTGTTCATCAGGATAGCGACTAAGTTCTTCTAGGTCTTCATTAGATAATCCAAAACTTGCTAAGATACTTGAGGCACTCTCTTTTGTATAGCGGCTCTGTATTTTAGGATTCTGCTCTGTAACCTGTGTTATAGAACTCTGTTTCACTCCCACTGCTGGAGTTATATGTGGCTCATCATCCCATCGGCTACCATGAGGCTTCCCCTTCTTTTGTTGTACTTCATGAAAATCCAATTTTTCTTTGGTTAATCTCGGGTCAGCTCGATGTTGAGTTACCTGAACATTCATTCTCTGTGGTCCCATATTCTGATAAGATTCATGGCCAGGAAATCTGTGTGGAATTCCACGGGCTCGCCCTGCTGGATAAAATCTCGGAAGACCCATAGATCCAGGCCTCATAAATGGTCCTGGAGGCCTCATCCCAGGAGGGTTAGGTGCTCGTGGCCTTTGAAGTGGAAAGGTTCCTCGAGGATTGAACCTGGGTCTCGACATGGCTACTTTCAAGAATGCCTGATTTAATAAAGTATAAGGTGATGTTGACCCATGTGAGGCAACGGCATTCAGCTGCTGAAGCGCCAACTGAGTCTTAATCTGAGCAAAGTGCAAAGGAGACGGGCCCAACAGAAGTGGGTTTGCAATGCCCAGGTTCAAGGAATTCACAAGTGGTGCGAAATTTTCCAAGAATAACACAAAGCTGAAAGTTAAAACACAAATATTAGATCATTTTAACTCAAACTACTTCATGAAGGGGGTTCTACAGTCCGAGTAAAACATTCTGAAATCAAGCCACGATACCATTCTGCATTTCATATATTTTAACAGTAAGGGCTTACAAAGATTTAAAACTTCCCCTAAAATTTTCTCTTCTTTTCGGAATCCAGAACACAAACCCCAAACCTCAAGCCAGAGTTCATGTATATTGCGTTGCACGAGGTACTGTGCTGGGTGCTGTCCTAGGTGCTGAGATGCAATTTACAAGTCCTTTTAAATAATCCTGAAAAAGACTGAGGATATATTTCATGCTTTTATACTGGAAAAAAAAAAGATGAAGGTATTATGATTTTTAGAAATGCACACACAATTGCTATGTGTGTGATCAGACAAACAATGAAAGAAGTGTAACTTTAAAGTCTTATTTAAACCCATTTTTAAAGACACATTTATTCTTTGGAATCAGCCTTCATAGCTACTCAGTTCCACATGGCAATTAAAGTACATTTATATTTCTGTTATAGAACAGTTTTTTCTTGTAGAATTTTGTCACCAACAATCCCATTACACAGTCTAACAAAGCAGGTGCAATGCATGAAACTCATTATAACATACAACATAACCTGTTAACAACAACAGTCATCCTGATCTTGAATTCTTTTCATTGTGAGGCTACAAGTACATGAGTAACAAGAATTACCTTGATAGACAATGCCCATATGACAGCTACTTTTCTAAGCACTTTACACTGATTTACTCATTTAGTTCTCACAACTCCCTGAGATATGCATAGCTTTACACAAAGAAAAGTTAAGCAACACAGACAAGTGTGATGTTGGGATTTGCATTCAACTTAATTTAGCCCCATAACCCAGGGTCACAACCAATAACAGATGCAAACAATGCTATCCCGCAGTTCCCAGACATTGAACTTGTTAAAAAGTGATTGTTGGCCAGCCCATCATATTGCTATACTACCCACCCCAACCAACTTCAGAAAAAAAAAGGTAGTTTAGTTAATATTCAGGACCAAGGCCAGCAGCTACAAAAGGTGTCTTCTTCATTTTTAAGAAAGTTTATTTTTAGTATTTTAAATTATGCATACTGGGGGGAGGGGGCGTATATGCATGTTCCTGCAGTTGCCCAAGGAGGCCAGGGGCACTGGACTGCCCTAGATCTGTAATTACAGGTGGTAAGAGCAGTATGTACTCTTAACCACTGAGCCCTACTTCCAGCCCCCATAGTTAGCTTCAAGTGGGTTCTAGGACCGGAACACAAGTCCTCATGCTTACAAAGCAAGCACTTTACTAACTAGCCATCTCCCCAGCTCCATACACTTTTAAGTACACATTATGCCTATGTTTTCTACCAAGTTCCACTCCTGGGCACTGAGAGGTCTTGAGGTATCTAGGTCTATTAATAGAAATCCATATTGTGAATTCTATTATTGTAAAGCACTTTCTGGTTCGAACTATAAATATAGTTTCACATGTTAGTAAAATGACTATTAGGGGGAAAGGCTATATTTATTTGGTTAGCATTCTTCCTTCTAGCCATTCTGCATGCTAAGAACACATTTATTTAATCTCTGTAAAAGGTCATTTTTACCCACATCACTCCTGTTCAAAACCCAAGAGCCTCCCATTCTCTACTGTCTTAGCTTCATGCATAGGGTCCAACCAATCCAGTCAGTCTCTACCTTTATAATTTACCAGGCACTTATTCCAACTAGGCATTTGCACCTATTCTCTTCCCATTAAACAAATCAAAACAACTTCACCCTGAATGTGACTTGTTTGACTTTATACTTATCCTGCATGTCAGCTTTCATCAAATTTTCCCTGACCACTAAGGACAAACGAGTCTTTCAACATCCTTTCTTAATTATTATCTAAACCACTTTGGATTCATAGATCTTATGTTTTGTGCTAATAATATGCATGCTTTTTTCCAACAATTTAGTGTTAAGTAAAGCTATGAGCTGACTGTAATACTTATCTTCCAAGCATATAAACCCTAATCCTATTCAGAAAAACCCCAAATATTTGTTAGAGCACTTGAATGGACATAAAGTCATCATTATTAACACACAGATTAGTATTCTAAATTTGTATGTATGATGTGTCTTTTTAATATTTTATTGCTTTTTTAATTTTGAGTGTATGAGAGTATTGTCTGCATGTAAGTACACCCATGTCATACAATGCCTGAGGAGGTGAGAAGAAGGCGATGGATCCTCTGGAACTGGAGTTATGGACGGTTGTTAGCCACCATGTGGGTGCTGGGAATTGAACCTGGATCCTCTGCAAGAGCAGTCAGTGCTCTTAACCTCTGAGCCATTTCTCCAGCCCCCATGTGTGTAGTATTTTTAATTTGTATTTGTCTATACATGTATGTAGTTCTTTAAATCTTATGTGTCTATACATGTGTTTGTCTGTGTTCCTGCCAGGTAGGTAGAGATCAGAGGACAACTTCAAGTGCCTTCTATCTTGTTTGAGACAGGGTTTTGAATTCACCAACAGCAGATCCAAGTTCACTATTTTAAAAATCTTATTTGTAACAAACTCCAGAAATCACAAATTATATGAAACTGTTCCTATCTCTGTCAGTCAAATTACCTCTAAGAACACCTTTGTTTTTACCCACCTTAGTTTTTTGCATAGGTGACATACAACGTAACAGAGAAATTAAGAAAAAAAAGGATTTAAATCTTTTCTCTGTCCCTGCCAACATAGTTCTGCTAACAGGTTTGTCGTTAGAATGTTGGCATAACTAGCTATAGCCAACAATCTCATGGTACACATGTACACACGTACACACACACACACACACACACTTTAACAGGAGCCTCCTCTTTTTGTTTGTCTCAGACAAGGACTTTACACTGTTTGCAAGAGACTAGGCTATTTAAAACCTTTATAAACTGCTTGGTTTTTTAGTAACTTTTTGCTGTTAGTCAAGCAATATTTGTAATGCTGTAACCTACTACCCAGGGTATAAAATGTAAGAGTTCCTTTCCTTTGGGATCTAGTCTTTGGCCTTTAGTCCTCTGGACCAGGCTGCAGCCTGAATAAAATTTGCTTTTATTACTGGTGTCTTGCCTCATCTTTTCTGCTACAGGATAGCTCCCCACTTTGGCTGGTGGGTGAGCCCCAAGGATTCTCCTGTCTCTGCCTCCCTAGCTCTGGGATTATAGGAACATGTTATTGTGCCTGGCTGGCTTTTTCATGTGGGTACTGGGGCTCAAATTCAGGTCCTCAAGCTTGCCCAAAAGCATTTTACTAACTGAGCAATTTCCCAGCCCCTATTCTGAATCTTTTGGCACCATGTTCACCAGTTAGGAAAGAGTCCTCTTCAACCTGAGAAGCACAACCTTTTCCAAATACTGTTTCTTCCCCCAAGTAAAACACAAATGGTACAGATTTCAATCACAGTCATTTAATTACTATATGTAACTGTGAGCAATTTTAAGTTAGAAAGAACTACACTTAAGTTCTTTAAAGGCAAAACCCTACATATTTCCTAAAGTATCTAGCATGGCCTTACACTGACACAAATAATACATTTATGGAATATAGAGAGCAGACTTTTTACAAACTATATTCTACAAGACCTCTGATAAAGAACTAGGCTTTACCCCAACTAAGAAAAGAAACCCTCTGCATTTTGAGAATACTGATAAATCTGAAAACGATGTAGCAAAAAACAGGAACCAAAAGACTCAGATGAATTGACACTAACACCCAGACCAAACAAATTGAGAGACATTAAAAGCCTTTTTAAATTTAATCTCGCCAGGCATGGTGGCACACCTTTAACCCAGCACTCGGGAGGCAGAGGCAGGCGGATCTCTGTGGTTCAAGGCCAGCTTGGTCTACATAGCAAGTTCCAGGCCAGCTGGGGCTACAGGGAGACCCTGTCTCAAAAAGACAAAAATAAA